GTGGGTGCTACAGCAATGCAGATGGGGACTGTGTCCAGGATGTTCTTCTTACACTCTCCGAAGCACAGCATTTCAGTAGGAACTGTGTCTGCAACAAGAGAGGCAGACTGCAGGTGGCTGTGGGCAGGCTCTGGGGGAAGACCCTGCACACAGCTGGCAAGTCAGACCAATGCCTTGGCCCCAGAGGCTCTGGCAAGAATAGACAGTCCCTGTGCACCAGGCTTGGCTTATCCCCGGAAGATGCCAGTGTTAAGGGCTCAGAACGGAAGATACTGAACCACCAGGTCAAGTTTCTTCAGACCCAGGAACATATTCTACAGCCCATGATGTCCAACCATGGGTGCAGAGGTATCCTCGGAATAACAGTTTGATGAAGAACTGGAGTAGGTGATGGAAACACCTATTTTAGTCAAATAAGGGGAGCTGAAGCCCTGAAGGACTGGTTATGTGGCTTCATGAATGTGTGCTCACACTCAACACGAAGGGGCTCCGGAGGCTCCCTGATGGATTCCTCAGCTTTTCTGGAGGATCTAGGAAAGAGGGAATGGGAATAATGCTGGCATGATGATACTTTTTTTTTTCTTTTTCTTTTTCTGGCATATTGCCTCACCTTCTTTTGTCTTATCTGATTCAGGGGACAGGGGAACAGTGTTGCAACCGCAGGTGCCAGAAGTAATGATGATTCCCTAAGTATAAGAGTGCACACCTTTAACCCTTTATGTCAGAATCTCTGAGGGCCTGATGGTTGGGTCTTCACCCCATCTGCCAAAATTGGGTCAATAGGGCTGGGGATGTGGCTCAAGCGGTAGCGCGCTCGCCTGGCATGCGTGCGGCCCAGGTTCGATCCTCAGCACCACATACAAGCAAAGATGTTGTGTCTGCCGAAAACTTAAAAATAAATATTTAAAAAAAAATTGGGTCAATAGTGAGTGCATGTGTTGGTTGCCTTGTGATGAAGACAGCCTGCTAGCTGCGTCCCTGGAGACTTTACCCTATTCAAACAGGATGGACTGAGGGGGGACGTACTTGCTAGATGAGCATTACTACCAGCAACCTGGGCCAGACAGTGGCTGAACTAGTATCCCTTCCAAAGGTGGAAAAGTGTGGGTACAAATGAAGGGGAGGAATAGAAGTTGAGGGTAAAGGAAATGGATTACACAATAAGGGAAATTCAGTATTAACAATAACACCTTGAAAGAAGCTTAGAGCAAGAGATGATGTTGTCTTGTAGCTCTGACCAGATACTTGAGTGAATCCATGTGTTGGTAAGACCACTCCTATTTTGGGGACATGAAACATATGAACAGAGGCCTGCAAGCCGGAGTGGCCTCACTTTCGGACACATTTCAGTTAGACAATATGATGATGGATTGGACTCACTTAATGACTGAGGAGACCCTGTAATGTGCCAGCACCTTTTGATTCTTATTTTTCAGGATACATCTACTGCCATACTGCAAGACGGTATAACACTGGCAGGTTATAACTCTGATATTGATAATTCAAAGTACTGGAAAATTGGGTTAGGGCCTCTTCTGTTTATTTTTGTTTATTCTTTTGTGGTGCTGGGGATCAAACCCAGAGCCTCACACCTGCTAGGCACGCACTCTACCACTGAGCTGCATCCCAAGCCTTTCTTGTATTTTGAGACAGGGTCTTCTAAATCGCCCAGACTAACCTTGAACTTAGGATGCTCCTGCCCCAGCCTCTGGGTAGATGGGAGGTACCGTGCCCAGCAACCACTATTGTTTAAGATGATGTACAGAAATAGGAAGGCCTGACACTTTCTAGAAGTGTCTTTTGAGCTCAGTTGGCAGAGGCAGGGAGATGGGCAAGGGCATAGCCTGTCCCATGGCATGGCAGGAGAAGTAGTTCCGCCAGCTTGAACTTTGTCCTGAGGGTTATGGGAAGCCATTACCAGACTTTCAACAGGGGCCTAGCCTGGGTAACTCCGTGACTAAGGAATATTGCTGTTTGAGAAGAAGAGAGGTTGAGTAATGTGGGAGAGATGGGGTTAGGCAGCTCAGGGAGAATGGGCAGGCCAGGCCCACAAGTTCTCTGCCCCCAAGCTACTCTCTGGAGGGACAGAAGGACAAGTCTCTGTATCCTGTTGGTGAGAGTGTGAGAGGATGGTAAAGGTGGAGCAGGCTGCCCTCTTCAGGGGGAACTGACTGGACCAAGAGCAGSAGGGGTCTCCTTCTTCCCTCCAGGCAACCCAGTAGTGTTGACTATGACAGGCAGGCAGGGCTGTGGGTGGGAAGACACAGGGCAGGGGACCTGAGTTTCCCACTGTTCTTGCTGCACTGTTGAACGCCAGAGGTAGTACAGGATGCTGGGGATCTAGGACAGAGGTTCTAGGACTCCTGAGGGGCAGGAGCATAGGCCTCCTCTGTTGGTCCTGGGTCCAGAAGGCACTAGCTCTCTAGCATTTTCTCAAAGTGGACCAGAAGGGCATTGGAGGGCTTGCRGCAGGAGATCTGTTGGTCCAAGCCCCATCCCTGCCCCTGTCATTCTCCCAGGAAGGTATTGCTCCTGGCTGCCCTAGACCCATATTCATGGGAGGCCTGAGGCTAGGCTGACCTCAGTTTGCATGCTGTTCCCTAACTTGACTCTTCCCCAGGGCTTCTAGGATGAAGGCTGAAACTCTTCAACATGTCCCTTTACAGCCTCTGCCTCGCTTCCCTTGCCTKTTTCTTTCCCTGAGTGTGCTGGGAACTTTCCTCTGACAACCTCCTTGCCCCAGTTCTGCCCAGACTCCAAGTGGGGCCTCCTGGGTGCCACATATCTGACTAGAAGTTTTGTAACTGCACCATGGAGATGGTGGTTTTTTGTTTTTATATTTTTAGTTATAGATGGACACAGCACCTTTATTTTATGTATTAACTTTTATGTGATGCTAAGGATCAAACCCAGTGCCTCACACGTGCTAGGCAAGTGCTCTATCACTGAGCCCCAGCCCCAGCCCCAGGATGGTGTCTTTAGTGAAATAAAACTGGTAACTCATTCACAAGCCTTGTGACTGCTTTCTTCAGATATGACTGATTGCAGACACAGGTTTAAGGAACCCATCAACCCTCTCTGGGCACAATCAGCCTATCCAAGTTTTGGCCTGCACCACATTCTTTGCTCTGTGTAGCCACACCGGCCTTGTCTCAGTCTGCCAACTGCCACATTCTTTTCAGCCTTTTGCACACACTCTTCTGTCTGATATTCTCTTTCATCCCTCCTGTGTACAGATAACACCTATTCTTTCATTTCTCCAGGAAAACCTTCTCTAACCTCCTGGATAAGGTCAAAAGTGCTCCGTAGGCATGCCTCCAGCATTGTCTTTTCCTGAGAAGACCTGTTTAAGTTGGAACCCTGCCTTTATGAGTAAATTGGTCTCTTTCCCTGTCAAGTCTATGAACTCTACAAAAGCCCTCTGTTGTGTTCTCCCAACCACTGTGCCACCCCAGGACAGTGCCTGGTGTCATTTAACCACTCAGCAAATATTTGAGAGTGAATGGACCATGGAAGTGTAGATGGATGGTCCCAGGCAGCAGTYCTTGACTTGAGCAATTGGAGATTCCTGGTAGTGACTCTAGAGAACCTCCAAGAAACTGAGGCTTGACTCACAGGTGCCTGTGTTTACCTAGGGATATGTCTTTTTGGAGTAATTACCCTCCTCCTTTTCTGATTGCTCATGCTTCACAGTAATGCCCCACCCTGTTTAGAGCTGCTCTCACCTTCCTGTCCCATAGGTGTGGCTACACCTGAGCTGGTAGTGGCCTAAGAGGCACAGCAAAAACTCCAGAAGGTTAAAGTCGCTTTCCAGAAGGGTTCATAAGCTCTGAGGATGCATATGCCTATATTCTCAGCCTATATTCCCAGATACTCAGGAGGCTGAGGCAGGAGAATGGCAAATTTGAGGTCAGCCTTGGCAATTTAGCAAGATCCAGGCGATGGATGGGGACATAGTTGACGACTGGTAGAGCGCTTGCCTATCACTTTCCAGACCACACCGAAGGGGTGGGGGAGGGCTCATGGACTCTGAGAAAGGCAACCAGAGAGGAAGAAGTGGTCTTAGAAAGCGGTGGCTGCTTCATACTTGGCACTGTATAGGCATTGGCTCTGATCCTCCACAACCTCTGTTGCAGGGCCTTCGTGTCACACAGAACCCAGGGTTCCCTAAAAAGCCAGAAGGCATGTTTCCAGGATATGGCCTGGCTTGGGAAGCTTTCATCTTCCTGACTTTTCGTGGCAACATAGCTTCCCTGCAGTCGAGGTGGGGGAACCTGGAGATTATTCCCATTCGACACGATAGGAAGCTGAGGCCCCACCGGGCCCAGGGGGGCCAGACCGCAGGCAGGCGTAGGAACAGTTAACCAAGCACAGGAGCCGGGTTCGCCCCGCCTCCGCCAGCGCCTGCGCATCGCCGCCTTGTTGCTGCTCAACCCCGCCCCATCGCCTGGGTTTTCAAATTTGAAACCTGCTTCTTTTCCCGCCCGAACGTGTAAACCAGCTGCGGGAGAGGGCGGGGCCACGCGACAGCCAATCGTGTCTCAGAGGCTCTCCGGTCCCACCCAGAAGATGACAACAGCAAGCCTAGGCCAGAAACAAGCGAATCGGCTAGCGGTTGCTGGCCGGCCCAGCCCCCGCGGGGCCCACGTGCAGCGCCAGAGCCCGGGCCTCCTGGGGAGCGATTGGCCCTGCAGCACCGTATTCTGTGTGAAGGCTCTCTACCTCCATGGGGCTGGTAATGCCAAGGAACCGCGGGGTCTCTGAGATAAGAGAACAAGACGCAGGACCCTGGCCCAGGGGTCCACCCAAGGACCAGGACTGGAGCCGGCGCCAACTCCTGCCCCTCGAGCGTCCCTGGCCATTTGTGGGCGGGCGGGTTCGCAGAGGGTGGGAGTTTTCCAAGGAGGCGGTCCCAATGACTGGGCGTTCCCGAGGGCGGGGCATCCTGGGGGCGGGGCCGAGCGCCTGTGTTTGTTGCCCTGTGTCAGTTACATTGTAACAAAAGTGGTGGGGCCGCAGCTCCGGCCAGCACCCTAGGCCCGCCCGCCATCAGCTGTCGCCGACATGGAACCTGTGGCTAGCAACATCCAGGTCCTGCTGCAGGCGGCTGAGTTCCTGGAGCGCCGTGAGCGAGGTGAGGAAGAACTCTGGGCTAGACTCCTGAAGGAGACCTCACTGACATGGGCCTGGACGACTTGGCATGCAACTTGAACGATACACGGCAATTAGGGCAATAATCCACCCTCAACTCAGAGGAGTTCGCGGGCGGTCGGGTAGGGAAGGGTTGGGGAGATGGTCTCGGCGCCAGAAGCCCTTCCTTGACCCTGATGTGCCAGGGGCCCCTTCCAGTCCTAGCTTGACACGGGCGGGCTCTGCCTCTTTCTGGCAGAGGCAGAGCATGGCTATGCGTCCCTGTGCCCGCATCGCAGTCCGGGCCCCATCCACAGGAGGAGGAAGCAACACCCGCAAGCTCCCGGAGCTCTGGACAGTGGGCGGTAAGGAGGGTGCAGGCGTCGGGGGTGGTGTAGGGAGGGTGGATGGGCACTGTCCTTCTTCGTTCTTTCCTCTGCTCATTTTCTCGTTTGCATCTTATAGATTAGGTACCCCRATCCGGGAAGCATTCAAAGCTCTCCTGCCATCTGTCCCCTCCCCATACACCTTTTTGTGAATTCAAGGACTACTTCAGGACCTTTGATGTGACAGGAACTGTGAACAAGACAGTTCTGGGTCCTGTTTCCACTCACACATCAAACCACTCTCTTCTCCACAGGCTTATTTCTTTACTGTTGTACTTCAACACTCTGCATACACTGCTTCGTCCAGTTGGAATGCCTTTCCCTCCATTGCCCTGTGTGGGAAACTCTGTTTTTTGCTCAGTTCACCTGTCATCTCTGTCCAGGAAATCTTTCTTGCCAGGCTGGCAGGAGAGCCTCATTTAGACAACCACCTGGCAGGCCTCTCACAGCATTTGTCTGTGTATCTCTGATTCCTCTCACCCCTACCTGGGGGCTCTGGTGCCCAAGACCAGACCAAGGTCCACAAGAGGGTTGACTGAGGCAGACATTTGTAGTAGATTTTTGAGTCACAGGGGGCCCTGGGCTAAGGGTGTGGGCTGTAGTTGACAGCCCCTCACCTCATCCTCATTGGCATTCACAGGTCTGTGCACAACGAGCTGGAGAAGCGTAGGTGAGTCCCACCCCAGTCCTGACAGCACCAGGTCCCAGGAACCACCTCTGTCTGGCCTTGCCTTCCCTGCTGTCCTTCTGGCTGGTGAGGTGGGGCTGGCACTGCCCTCCAGACCCCTTCCCCCACAGGAGGGCCCAGCTGAAGCGATGCCTGGAGCAGCTGAAGCAGCAGATGCCCCTGGGGACTGACTCTGCCCGATATACCACATTGAACCTGCTGCGTAGAGCCAGGATGCACATTCAGGTAAGTGGAGGGGGGCACCCTGTGTCCCCAGGTGTGACATGGGAGGCCTGGGTGGAACTAGGGAAAAGGGCCAAACATAGTCCAACTATGTAACTGGGGACAGTTCTCTGTGCTTTTAGTTTTCTAATCTATTAAATGGGAAGGAAAACAAAAAATAGTTCAGAGGGTTGTTCTGAGGCTTCAGTGAATTCACCCTGTAAATGTTCATTGTTGTTACAGCTATTACTACTTAGATCCCAGCCTGGAGACCTTGAGCAAGTCACTTGGCTTGTGTCTGGACTTCTGCTTCCTCCTCTGGTGGGGAGGGAATTGCTGTTGAAAAAATTTCTATGATGAATCATATGTAATGGTCCCTTACATTGCAGAGGGTTGGTTTCCACTCTCCCCTGTTTCTATCCTTCAAGACCTGCTGTTCATCTATCCAAATGCCACCCTATGAGGCATCCACTCCAGAATTCAGAAGGGAGAAGGGATTAAGGGAGCTAATCATTGGGCTTCCTAGGGCCCTTGCTACTGCCTGGGCTGAGCTGCCCGCCCCCTAGTGGACAGGAGTTAGTGTGCAGGTGCCAAGGCCCAAGCAGCCCCAGGGATGCCCATATTAGAAGCAGCCTTGGAAACAATAGAGGATTTTTCCTGTCCTAGCTCTTTTGACAGGCGAAGAGAAGGAGGCACAGCAAAGTTATGTGCTGAGGAAAGACAGATCCAGGCCCAGGCCCCCTCATTTGCATTCTTTCCTTCAACAGATATTTATTGAGCATCAGCTATGCCAGGCCCTATTGTAGGCACTGGACACTGTGGCAGACAGATCCAAGTGCCATCCAGCAAATAAATCCCAGATGTAAGAAGTATTCACACTGCCCCACAAGTGCCTGTTATCACCTTCACTGTGGCTGAGTAATACTTTGGTTGGCTAATGGGTCCCCGTTTATCACATGGTGCTTTCCTGGCCTAGTTTCTTGGTAGATATGTCCATGGGCAGGTCCTGGGAATCATCCCATCCTTGAAGCTTCATCACCCCTCTTCTGGACTAATTTATGCAAACCTCTTCACTGGCCTCCCTCTTTCCTATATGGCCTCTACCAGATGGTCTTTTTCTTTGTCTTAGAATGATCTTGGCCATACACAGATGTGCCCAGGCCCATCTCCAGCTGAAAACCTTGACAGGAATCCCAACAAAACAAAGCTTCAGTTCCTTACTTATTATGATTCTCAAGGCCCTCTCCAACCCAGGCTTTTTTGGACTGGTCTCTCCCGGATCCCCCAAAGAAAAAGCCACACTTTCCATGCTTGCCAGGCTCCTCTGCCATGGTGTCTCCCTACCCCCATCTTTGGGTAGCTCCTACTCATCCTTCTATACCCTGTCCCTTATTGGGTTTTTTGTTTTGTTTTAGTTGTCAATGGGTTTTTCACTTTGTTTATTCATATGTGGTGCTGAGGATCGACCCCAGGGCCTCACACATGCTAGGCAAGTGCTCTACCACTGAGCCATAGCCCCAGTCCATCTCCCCTTATTGTGAAATGACTAAATAATCCAGTCCTCTGCCCACCGAGGATTGGGTCCTTGGACTTCCAGATTCTGAACATTAGGGCTGACAAAACTCATGTAGGGATGAGGGGAGGAGGTTAATGCTGGAGCCTTAGGGCCCCAGGAGGATCCTGACCAGGAATTGCAAACTGATAGCCTTTGTTTAGTCTGAAGTTTTCTCACAATTTAGTTGGCAACATTTCAAAGGGCATCTGACATGAAAAATCTGGCTTTCCAGCTTCTCTTAAAGAAATGGGGAGATCTGGCAGTGCTGGGCCTGTTGCCATGTGGCAGCAATGGGCTGGAACCTGGAGGTGGCTGCCTCCTCGAGTGAATGTGCACTTGCCAGCCCACAAGTGTGTTTGGGATTAGCGTGTCTCCCACGCCATGCCCATCTAGACCAGAGCACAGATGGGTGACACACAGGAAAGAGCTGCTTTCTGAGGACATTCAACAACCCTCTGGGGCCCAGGTTTATGTGCCTGCCTGTTTGGAGTAGGGAGAGGTACATGTGGCTGTAGCCCACTGCCAAGTGGCACATGGGCAAAGTTCACGTTTTGGGATGCTGACCCTAGCCCCTGCTCCTACCATCTCTACAGAAGCTAGAGGAACAGGAGCTGAGGGCTCGGCGGCTCAAGGAGAAGCTGCGCAGCAAACAGCGGAGCCTGCAGAAGCAGCTGGAGCAGCTCCGGGGGCTGCCAGTAGGTGAGAGGTTGCGAGCGGATAGCCTGGACTCTTCAGGCCTCTCTTCTGAGCGCTCGGACTCAGACCAAGGTGAGTGGCTTGAAGTCTAGGGGCCCTGGGCAGTGTGGGTGGGCCAGGGCTTTTGACTGGAACCCTCCTTGTGCAGAGGAGCTGGAGGTGGATGTGGAGAGCCTGGTGTTTGGGGGTGAGGCCGAGCTGCTGCGGGGCTTCAGCGCGGGCCAGGAGCACAGCTACTCGCACAGCACCTGTAACTGGCTATGATGCTCACTACTCTGATTGCCTTCTACTCACACTGGGCTGAGCCCACCAGGCAGCCCAGAGGGCTGCTCAGAGGCATCAGTTGGAATGGACTAAAAGGACCCTCGTGTGGGAACAGGTACTCCCCGTAACCTGCTACTGGCTGCCAGGCAGTCCCCACCGGTTGGGAGGAGGCACCCAGACCACCCCCAGAGCTCTGCAGGGCAGGCAGCTTGGGCCTGGGCTGCCTTTCCAGGCGTTTTTGTAGCACTTGGCTCTGCTGCTCCAGCAGGGGCAGGAAGCCTCTTGGACCCTCTTATTCCTGAATAAGGCCTCTGGCTTTTGCCCTACATATACTGTACAGTATTTTCATTAAAAGCATCTTTCATAATTTCCCGTCCATGGTCTTGCCTGATAAAAATGGAGGAAGTCACAACCACAACTAGAAAAGAGGAAATAAGATCAGCAGCTGCCACCACCATCCTGAGTGGTGTACTTGATCCTTACAACCTGGAGGCTGTCCTGTCTGGGCTTTAAGGGTGGTAGGACTGAGGCCTGGTGGTGTGACTTGCCTGAGTTCCAAAGCCAGGAAACAGTGGAGTCAAGATCCWTACTAAAGCTTTCTGACTCCAGAGCTGGGGCTGATTGAATTCAACATATATTTATTGAGTGCCTATTATGTGCTAGGTATTTTTCCAGGTATTTGGGACACATCAGAACAAAACAAAGAGCCCTGCCCTCTTGGAGCTTACAGTCTATTGTTTATCAACACCCCCCCTGCATACTGCCTGTGACCTTGAGCAAGTCCCCATACCTCTGCCCCTCTTTGTGCCTGTCATCAGCTGCCCAATGGGAGAATAAGCAGGCTGGGCTCAGATATGTGCCTGGTACTGCAGATGCTGAACAGGACACCTGCCCCAACCCACCACCCAGACAGCAGAGAGGGCTAGAAGTTGATTTTTAATAATCAAGTACAATGAAAGGGTGCGGAGGGAGCCCACAGCCGGCTGGTGGGCTGTGGCAGGGGCCCAGCCTGGCTACACAAACTGCTGCTGCTGCTGCTGCTGCTGCTTGGTGGCAGCCTTGCTGGCAAGGTCCTTGGCTTTCTCTGTAGCTGCCAGTGCTGTCTCCTTTGCCTTCTCCTTGGCTTCCTTGGCTGTCTCAACAAGTGTTTTGGAAGGGGCCTCACCTAGAATAAAGGGCAGGAGGCTAGCTTCATATGGTGCCAAGAGGCCCCACCTAATTACATTCCCCAGCCATGCCAGTTGCCTAGTAGAGGCCTGACCCCTTTGGAAAGGTGATATTTGCTACCTGGTATATATTAAGACCCATGCTCAGAGCAGGGTAATGACTGGTCCAGGGTCTATGAAAGTCAGGCTGAGCTAGGATCTGACCCAGCCTCTCCTGATGAGCTCCCCCCAACAGCACCCAGAATTCTCACCTTGCAACTTGGCCAAGATGTATTCAAAACCCTTCATAGTCTTGGTCACATTGCTTTTGAACCGGGCGAGACCAAATTCCTGGCAAAAGATTGAAGTGGGAAGGACTGGTAATTGGCCACTAACTTCTGCCCAGCCTCCATGCCAACAGCCTCAGGCCCTAGAAACCCCACAACATTGCTTACCTGGACAGCTCTAGAGACACCAAATAAACTAGAGGAGACCCAGGCTTCCCGGCGGATTTCGGTCCAGCCACTGTTGTCAGAGTTCACACGGTAAACACATCGTTCCTCCACCACCTGTGTGGAAAGGTAGGCCACCCACATTGCAGGGACATCTTTTGCTTTACCAACCTACAAACAGACTTGATCCCCCACTTCTTTGTTATATTATTGCCCAGGTTGGCCCTGAACTCTTGGGCTCCAGTGATCCTCCCACTTTAGCCTCTTGAATAGCTGGAACTAAAAGCACGTGCCACCACACTTAGCTGAAGCCCTGCCTCTTTTCACAAAAAGAAGCCATGAAATGAAAATCCATTCCTTCCTGTTACTGCATCCCCAACACCATTTTACCCTGTAAACTCCTTTCCTGACCCTTAAAAACACTAGAAGGCATGAGGTCTCTTAGGAGAGGCAGAGGGCTTTCTATCCTGGGACCCTGAACTATTTGGGGCCTTTATATCTAGGAACATGTGCTGTTTTTAACTCAAACTTCCACCCACAAACAGACTTGATCTTTCTGACAGTCTAAATACAAATAAATGTCTGATAGTCATCACAGCTTTCATTAACAGAAAGGAAGAAGTGGATTGCTACTTCCAGAATAATATTTAATGACACTTTTCATGAATGGATTGCTGTTTTTGTCATTACCAAGTAGCACCCTCATGCTGTCATGTGAGATGACTTGCACTTGTCACTTTGTGACAAGGTAGGACACGTCCCTTCTCTGAACCTTTCATCTTGGCATAAATGAGTAATATGTACCTCTCAAGGGTATCATGAAAGTAAGCYGAGAAGAATAATTTTCTGAAAGTTTGCAGGGTATTCACATGTGAAAAGATGCAGTGGAATGGTTCCTTTAACCATAACTATGGGTTTTCAAGCTTTTATTTATTTTATTTTTTGTAATTGTAGATGGACAGAATGCCTTTATTTTATGTTTATTTTTATGTGGTGCTGAGGCTTGAATCCAGTGCCTCATGTATGCTAGGCAAGCGCTCTGCCACTGAGCTACAGTCCCAGCCCCGTTTTCAAGCTTTTAAAGAGGTATGTGGAACTCCATTGCCCCAAATCTCAGGCAGAGATCCCTTTATGAGAGATAAATGTGGAATGTCTCCAGTCAAAGTGAGGTAAAGGGCTTAGAATGTCAACTGCTGAAGCACATCCAGGGCACCTTTGGGCTTAATGGACTCCTATGTGAAAACTGCTACCTTCCTCCCTCAGCATCACTTCTGTGGGCCCAACCGGAGTGTGTGTCACACATGACATAAATGTTTGTGTTTAGTACCTACAACAACTCTGTAAAATGAGCACTTCCCCCCCCATGAATGAGTCAAAGGACAGGTCCAGAGAGGCTGACCAGCTGAAATAAAGAGATAATCTGAGGTTGTACCCTGTAGCCATTGCTCCACAGTAACCCAATCATACCCCAGTCTCTCATGACTCTAGCCATGTACATGAGGAGCAGTCTCACCATCAGCCGGGCATGGTTGATGTTCCAGGTGAAGGTGGTCATGGTCTGATTCTGTGGGTCCACAACAGAGTCCTCCAGGATGTACACCGAGTGAGCAACATTGGCAGGAAACAGTCGCTCTGCCCAGCGGGGCATCCTGTTGGTCTTGGTCAGGAGTCTCCGGGACAGGAGCTTCTGGTCAGGGGTCACCTCCCGGTGTACTATGTCTTCCGTTAAGACATGTTTGCTGCAGGTGTCAGTTAAGGGGGACCCTTAGAAAACTGCCCCCCCCAACAGACCGTCTATTGGGGTTCCTATTGGGAGCCTCTCTCCTTATCTTCCTGCAAGCTTGCAGAGTGATTTGTGCTGTAATTCAGAACTAAAAGTACCTTGAACCTATCCTAGGGCAAATTCCAACTCCCGCCTCCTCCCTGAGGTGAATTCCTGGGCCTTGCAACGGGGGTGGCTTCAGGTCTGGCAAATGCCCGGATTTCCAACCCAAGTTCTCTCCCAACTACTGTGCCGCCGCCTGTTCCTAGCCTCAGCARCTTAAGAAAGAACCTCAGACTACGGCCTCAAGTAAATCATCACCCAGGACCAGCCTTCTTCCAGGATCTTGCAGGCGCGGCCTGGCCGCTTCCCCGATAAGGTCTCCTCCGTACCCTAAGGACCGCCACGGTTCCGCAGATCACTCATGTCAAGACTCTAGTCTTTCCTGGTCCCATTGCTGAGGGGCTGCCCAAATAGCAAGGCGAGAAGGAGGTCTGCTTTTCCCTGGCTCACGTACCTATAGGGATTCGGGTACCGCTGCCAGAAGGCAGCGAACACTTGGTCCCAGGAACTTCGGAGCACGCTCTGGCCCAGGAAATACTTCACCATCGTCCCGGCCGGGGCGGGCTCAGCACCCGCGCAGCATCAGGGGTGCAGAGCCCGGGGGGCACGCGGAGGCCGGGCCGGGGCTCGGCGCACGCCCGCCAGGCTCGCAAGTCAGTCACCACTGCGCCGCACCCAAATCGCTGCTGCTGCCGCCATGAGGGATTGTACAGCCGCGCACCACTTCCGGCGCCGCCGCTCAGTCTCGCCGCTTCCGGTCCGTGCCACGTGACCTGGCGACYCCGCCTCCTCCCGCCCCTCCCGCGGGAGACGCGGTGCTGCGGATTGGAACAGGGTTGTGGGAGACCCCAAGTTCGGCTGTGAATCTGGGCGGAATTGAAGCCTGGGCAGCAGTGCAGCCTAAGCCGCTCGGGCAGGCGAGCGAGCAAGCGAGCGRGAGGGCTAAGGAGTGACGAGCGACGAGCTGCACCGCGGCGTGCGGCGCCGTGGAGGGCGCTGCCCGCGCGCTCCCAGGCCGCCACGGCTCTGGGGTGTCTTGGAGGAACACTCGGCGCCCGGGGCCGGTTTGGCCGGGCCATTCAGGGGCACTGTCGAGGTGCGAGGCGCTTGGGGTCGGGGTCTGAGGCTGGGCGGAGCGGACCCTTACGTGGGCGAGGCTGCCCGGGGAGCATGAGCGGGCAGCGCGTGGACGTCAAGGTGGTGATGTTGGGCAAGGAGTACGTGGGCAAGACAAGCTTGGTGGAACGATACGTGCACGACCGCTTCCTGGTGGGGCCCTATCAGAACGTGAGTGCAACCCTCCCAGCCCGGCACGAGTAGGAGGCAGCCAACCTGCACCTGCGGCCCTGATCTCTTCCCCTTAATTGCAGACTATCGGGGCTGCATTCGTGGCCAAAGTGATGTCGGTTGGAGACCGGACGGTGACTTTGGGTATTTGGGTAAGTCCTATGGAGGTGGCCTGGGTCCTGATCTATCACTGGCTAGCTGGAGGCCTCATAGAGGCCATTTCTTTTCTCCAGACCCCAATTTCCTCACCTAGAAAATGGGAATCTGGAGGACACAGGCTTAGTTTTCAATCTTGGGAAGTAGCCCAGTTAAGTAACTCCGGCCAGGGCTGGGCTTTCCTCTGCCTTTCAGGACACAGCAGGCTCTGAGCGCTATGAGGCCATGAGCAGAATCTACTATCGCGGGGCTAAGGCTGCCATCGTCTGCTACGGTATGGGGGTTCTGGGCTCTTCTTTATGCAAGGGTTGGATGACAGGCTGGCCTCAGAACAGCCCTTGATCCGTGCTTGTGTTTCCTGCATGCTCCATACCAAGACCTCACTGACAGCAGCAGTTTTGAAAGAGCAAAGTTCTGGGTGAAAGAGCTGCGCAGCCTAGAGGAGGTATGTGGTCAGACCTCACCAAAAGACCAGGGGCTGAGACTCTTTGTCTGTGGGAGTGATCCTGGTTTTGTCTTCTGCTTCAGGGCTGTCAAATCTACCTGTGTGGCACCAAGAGTGACCTGCTGGAGGAAGACCGGCGCCGCCGCCGTGTGGACTTCCATGATGTCCAGGACTATGCAGACAGTAGCTGCTCCTCAGCCCTTGGGGTSGGGGTGGGGGGGCTGTTTTTGTGGGTTATAGGGAACAGGGACCTTGTCTGCCTTGGCAAGGTGCAGTAGGAGGGCTTTTTGTCTTCCTCGAACCTGTGGAGTCTAGGAGACACCATGAACTGCTAGCCTTCTCCTTGTTTATGTTGACCTAATTCTCAGGTGCGAACCCTTAGTCATTTCTCTTTGCAGATATCAAAGCCCAGCTCTTTGAAACATCCAGCAAGACAGGTCAGAGTGTGGGTGAGTGCTGTCCTGGGGCCTCAAGAAGAATAGGATGGTTTACCAGAGGAAGCAGGATAGAACCCAGAGGGCTGGGTCACTGGGAGATCCCAGGGATGCTGGCATCAGGCCCTCACCAATCATCATTTTCCTGCCAGACGAGCTCTTCCAGAAAGTGGCAGAGGATTACGTCAGTGTGGCAGCCTTCCAGGTGATGACAGGTGTGTGCTTTCCCAGCCTTTATGGAGACTTCCTCTAGGGCTCTATCCCTCTTCTTGAGTTGCGGGATCCCCCCACCACAATGGTGCTGAAATGCCACCTCTCTCTTTGGCAGAGGACAAGGGCGTGGATCTGGGCCAGAAGGCAAATCCCTACTTCTACAGCTGTTGTCATCATTGAGTCACCACTCACCTGGCCTGGGGGAATAAAAGGAATTCCCTAGAAGCCCTAGACCCAGCTCTTGTAAGGGCTTGGGTGGTCCAATRTCTTAGCTACCCTTGGTCCCCACGRCAGCAGAGGTGGCACCTGCCTGTGCTGGCCCATGGAATGGAGGCAGCATTGGGCTGACTGTGGGCATAAGAGGGCTAAGGGCTGATTTGGATCCCAGACTTCTGCCCTGGACAGCACTTGTGTCTACAGATATATTTTAAGTGGCTTCTGATCTGTAAATAAAATCAATGCACTGTGAATCACACTCAGCCCTTTTCCCTGCTGTGTGGACTGGGTGTCAAGACACCTAGTTCCTTCTGGTGCCACCTGGCTGGCCTCACTTCCTGTTAAGGCTCCTCCAAATTCTTATTTTCCTTGAGAAACCAAGTAACTTTTGCCCAGGGTTTTCACTGAGCTATTGGAGCTCCCTTTACCCTTTTGTACTGGAGACTGAACTCAGGGCTTTGTGCGTGGTAGGCAAGGGCTCTACCAATAAGCTGTGTCCCCAGCTCTTTCCTTTTGTTAGGGCAAACAACGTTAGAGGCAGGGGATGGGTCATGCAAAGCTCACAGTTCTTTCTGGGTGCCAAGAGGAACAAAGATAGTACTTAAGTTGTGTCCAGAGAAGGGTCAGGCACTCTTCCCTCAAGATAGAGGCTACCTCTGCTGCATCTGTCACGTCTGGGTGTGTGGGTTAGGCCTATGACTCAGATCCTGGGTTTCCCAATGACACCCTACAGTGTGATTTACTGGTAGGAAAAATAATGGTCTGAAAGACAGAAAGGTTTTATGGATCCAGATTCAGATCTAATTCAGCTGCTAGTGCAGAAAAGCAACTTAATTCTTCAGTTTGAGCTTTTCATCTGTAAAATGAAATGACTGCTACCTCAACATTGTGACAATCCTAAGTGAGGAGTATTCTAGTACTGAACGTTTCCCAACTCTTTCCCTGAAGGTTTTCGTGGAAGAACAGGGAATTTAGGGCTAGGGAAGGAGAGGCAAACTCCCAAAGGTTCCCAAAAGTATTGGGTTTTGGAGATCCAAATATTTCTGAAGTGTCAGGTATTAGCGTAAACAGGGCTGACACTTCCTGTTCAAACAGGAGGYGTGTACTGTGGCCTGTTATGGTATGGGAGGGGAGAGAGTGTAGGGGCTTTGCCTTCCAGCTCACTCTTTGCCCTTGCTTTCCTGCCTTTAGGCCTTGGCTGAGACCTTGTAGTGCCCAATACCTGTCTCTGAAGAGTTTATAATTAACATGATCAAACTCATACTCAGAAAGTGCTTTAGTTTCACTTCTCTTTTTAAAACCAATTCCTCAAAATACCCTTCCTTCTTGAGTGATGGAGACTTCCTGTTGAGGGGACTGAAACTGATACCAGACACTCCCAACAAAAGGGAAAGATGCTTTAAGTCAAGCAGTGGCACCTGGGAGAAAATCCAGACTACTCCCATGAAGTGCCTGGAGGAAGGGCTCCCCTCTGCCATGCCCCCTCCCACCAGGGAACTATCTCTGGGATTGGCTCCTGCTCTCACCCAAAACCAATCCTTTGTCAGGCTGTCTCTCCCCACGGACAATAAAACAAAACACAGGGCAAGGGCCATAAGAGTAAAGTTAAACTTTACTTTACAGTAATTTTTTTCTATATACAAAGAATTACAGTACATGTTTATGGGAACTCCTAGCACAGGGCTCCCCTCTTTTTCACTAGGAGTTCACTTCCAGCTGACAATCTGTGGGGGAGTGGGGAAAACAGAGATGGACCTTGGCTGAACCCCCTGCCCCCTCTTCTTAAAAATATAAAGATCTCTTGTCAGCTTGTTTCTTTGCCAAGACCTAGAAAGCTGCTCTTCCATGAGCTTCTGTGTGCTGCATTCACCCACCTTCCACATTCACCTACATGCACACACAGGCAGCACCACCTCATCCTTAAGACTGCTTGTTCTGCCCGCCATGGAAACCTAACACACCAGGACTCTATTCTGCTCCCTGTTTTTGCCCCTGTCCATGAGGCTGTGCTGAAATCCCAAGTGCTATCCCTAGAGCCCCTCAGTAGCCCAATGTTCTGAAACTCCTGGGAAGGTAGCCCTAGGGAAAGGAGCACAGAAGAGTTTAACATGTGTTGCTTTGCTTATGTTGATAGGAAACATTTCTTCTGAGGTTGTGGATTTCTAATTAAAATAAACTCTTTCCACTTCCTTAAGAAATAATACCCTTAATCTTCATAAGCAATAGAGGTGTTCCCATAAGAGTGGAAGAGGTAGAGGGGCAGAAGGTAATGGAGGGAGACCCCACACCCAGAGCTCTCTACCAACATGTTCCAGGCAGTGTGGACGGAGGCTACGGACAAGGTGACCCCAGACCTGAGAAACTCAATGGCCACCTTCATCTGGATACAGGATCTCTTCCACCTCTGGATTGTGCTGGACCACTCCAGGGCTGGGTGCAGGCTTTACTGAGACACTGCCTTCTCCCCACCCCTCACAGGGCCTCCAAGAAATCTTGCTATGTGAAATCTCTTTCTTTCAAACAGGAACCTGTTTGGATTTCTCAAGTTACCAGTCCTTCAACCCTTGGCAGTGCTTATTTATACCATGAAATTAGCACCATCATTACATTTTTGTGTACAAAGCATTTATCTATTCATACTTCAATTTACACTACAGCAATCTCTGGCCCTGCTGCACTGGCCTAGGAAGTCAGCTGAGAGCAAACTGGCTACAGCCAAAGCTCCTGTAGCAGCTACCTAGCTCTAAATGACCTGGAATGTCTAACACACACAAACAGCTCAAATGTTACTCAACAGGAAAAGCGCTTGAAGCAGCTCCTTTCCTACTGTGATATCAGAAGTTAGGACACTGGGCCTCCTGACCTGATGACAAATCCCATAAGGATGACAATATCCCAAGAAAAGCCTTAAGAGAAAACCCGCTTTTATAGGAGCTATGGGTAAAACCCATCAAGTTTAGTGTTTTTCCGATTACTTTTCACAAGAGAAGCTGCCAGGACCAGACCTCCTTTTTGCCCTTTGCTTTCACCAGGCAACGTTAGAATACAACTAGGAGTCCAGCTCCAGTGAGCAGACAGTGCCCAGCCAGGGAGGGTTGCTACTACACTTCATGCCCTGACGATAGTGYGGGGTGGAGGATGTGAAGAATAAAATCTTATCATTAATGTCAGAAATGTGGATTTGGTTTAGCAGAGGATTGACACAGTGATTTAAGTTAATGTTGAACTCAATAACTTTAGAGGAAAGCATATTTCTAAAAATATGGATGCTTTTGTAGCAATAATAGCTATTTTCTTTTAGAAGGGGGGTTGGCTCCTACATGCGGAGCAAATGAGGCTTTGAATGTAAATTTCAACAGTTTCCATAATTTTTTATTTTCCTGACTTAACAGGGCTAGGAGAGGTATTAGTTTTCTAGCTACCTATGGGGCATTTCCACCTTTGGCTTGCCCCTTGAAAATACTTCCTGGCTGGGGAGCTTACTCACAGGTAGACTCTCTTGAGCTCCTAGTTTCCAAGCACTTAGCCAAATAACAAACACCAAAATATACCATCCTGCACAAGGATCAGAAGTTTCTAAGATATAAGAATTCCTTTTAACTGCCAATTCAAACTCCCTTGAAGAAAGGTCTCATTGCTGACTTTTCCTGAAACCAAAAATGGGTGTAGGGTCATCCTTTCCCCACCTTCATAATRAGTCATTTTCGAGCAGTTTTGTTGACTCTGCTTCTATTGGATAGTGAGTGCTTCCATGATTTCAACTCTCCAATTTCACATACATTATCAGTGGGCCCAAAGGCTCAAATTTCTAGTTTCCATTCAACAACCTTAGTCTTTTCAGTAGCCCTGGGCAAAGGCCTGGCTATCCATCCATTAAGAACTGTCCCCTCCAACCAAGTGCATAGCTCAAGTTGTTTTCCCAGGCAGCTCTAGAACCAAGCCTCCAGTGAATGGTGGAGAATGGAAAGAACCAAAACAAAACCAGAAAGTAGCCTAAAGTGGCACGGCCCCTTATCTCTCACTTCCTCCTGTCCTGTGAGACATTTCTAGAAAGCTGTCAGTCAATTACCTACCAAAGCCTACTTCAGAGAAGCTAGTTTGGGATCAAACTTCTCCACTTAAATTTTTTACATAGCCTGCACGCCCCCCACCCGCCCAAATTCACAGTTTATTTCATGAAACAAAGAGCTACGGTAATTGAACACATAACATAGTGAAAGGATTTTTTTTGACAGTGCAGTGCAGATATCTTTTTCTGATCACAACTACAGATGACAGGAGAGCAACAGGCACAGGACTGGCACCAAGCAAACCTATTCACACAATCTAAGAGATTAGGAAAGGGGCCTACTAGCTGCAGTTATATATTTATTATTCTCACACATGATAAATACTTAATATAATGAACTGTAATGTTCTGGGTGAATTTTGTTAAAAATATCTTTTTCATGGTTTAAAATTATTTAAAAGAAAATAATAATATGCTTTACGTTTTCTCTTCCATTTGAACAAAGATTTTCCTCTTTGATGATGTGGGAAGAGAGGATGAAAGGGGAGAACTAGGCAGGTGGAATTCAGAGGAGATTCTGAGGTCTCAGTGAAGTGCAGGGATAGGCCCCTAAATTTGGGACAGCCCTGCCCGGCCGCATCCCTCTGCCTGAGTTCATGTGTCTCAATCCCAGAGACAGACTTTGGGAAATAAAAGTAGATTCTATTTTCAATCTTTTTATAAAGCGCAAATGCTTCTATAACTATTATTCCTTCCCCTTGGAAGTGATGGGAATTCAGTAAGAACTTAGGAGAAGGAAACTGGGACAAAATACAGAATCCTGTTCAGAGTGTAAAAGTCATTAACTGAGACAGAAAGGCTGGGAGACATTTGGGCCAGAAGATGGCCTGTTGGCTAAAGCTGCTGGCTGAGTTGGCAAAGCAGAGAGGTAAACATGTTTGGTCTAGGGACAAAGGTGGGGTGGGTGATTGGGAGAAAACGAGCCAAACAGCATTTCCTGTTGGCAGTCAGTGAGCTGGGTGAATGATAGGGCAGGGTAGCACCAACAGATTTCCCAGCCCTTGGGCCCCAGCTCAGGGCAGCAGTAACAGATAATCAGCAGTTATGAGGAGTCATCTCTTAGACTGGACATTGCTCCACACAACACATCTCTCCAGTCTTAGGGAAGGATTCTGGCTTGCCTTGAGCTAAGTCAGCAGGCAGGTGATCTCAATAGAGAGCACAGCAATTCTCAGGGAGGTGAAGAACTAGCTCCCTCAATTCAGTTAGGTGGGCAAAGGACCAGGGGAGAAATAATTTTCCATCAGCATCTGGCACCCTTCCTAAAGCTGGTATGTCTAGACAAGAGCTTGCCAGAAATTCCCTATGTCCACTGCCCGAGACTGAAATCTGAAAGCACCTGAGTGTTTGAGGAAATGGGAACAGGGTGGGTTTATGTAAAAGGAGGAAAACTGGTAGAAAGAAAGTTAAGCTTGCCAATTGCCTAATTCCACTGCTGGAAAGCTACATTCTCATAGTCAAGCTCCCTCTACTAGCTAGCTGCTGCTCCAAGTACAAGTCTTCAGACTTTGCACAATGTAGATAGAAGCAGCATAGATGTGCCAGCCAACAGTCCTCTTTGGCCTTGATACAGTACCCTTCTGCCTATAGAGGAGAGCTTTGAAGATACATGCATGTACATACATGCATGCATGTCCCAACCAGGAGATACTTGCTCACCATAGCCACAAAGAACATTTCAAAATGAGCATGGAAACCCAGGGCCCCTCAGTATTTCCTACTGTTTCCTGGTCAAAAGTTCTTGAAAGCAGCCTGGAAACCCAGGCAGAAAAGTTAGGCTCTCATGGATCAAATCTTATGTATCTCTGTATCACTCATCAGTGACTAGCCCTGGCCTAGCACATATGAATGCTCAGGGAGTGGCCACTGATTTGAATGAACATCAGTTCCTCCCACGGGTTCTAAGGGTATCTTCCACAGAGCTCTGTTGGGCTGGGGAATAGCTCCAAGAGCCCATTAAACTTTCCAACTTGACCAGCGGGATTGAATTCCATGCTTGACTCCAAAGTGGACTTTTTATTTTAAGTTGACCATGTGTAAAAGTTGGGGGCAAGAGACTCAAGTTTGTCTGTCTCCTTGGCTGGAGCCAACTGGATTTCCATACATGGTTCACACAACCATAAGCCCCCACTGGCTAATGTCACAAGAGTTCTGAGTGTTGGGATATAAGGAAAGAATAACAGTGGAAAAGTGTTGGGTAGGTCTGTTTTTCAAGGGGCAAAAAGAAGAAACAAAGATTCCCCTCTCCAAATGGTACCCTGGGGGCAGCTTGTAAGGTCATATAACATTTACTGGTATTATTTCTGTTCTGACTCTGCACACTTGTGATTGGAAGGAGCCTGATTAAGAGCTGGAAGTGTATTTTGCTCTGGTTTGGGGTCTTGCCCTCTTCCAAGGGACCAGCAAGTCTGTGCCAATGTCTGTGTGCTTCCAGCAGACCAGCAAGACTGCGCCAACGTCTGTCCAGCCACTATGGGCCAGAGCCCTGCCCCTGATGAAGTTTTTCCCAGGGACCAAGGACTCTGTTCTGTGGTTGCCAACTTCTTCTCTTCAGTGGAGAGGGAGGCTGGGGCCTTCCCAAGAGACCTGAAGGACTGCCCACTCTTGGCAGCAAATCCAGGTAGTTGCTGACCTCCGGCCATCTGCTTCACCAGGCCTGATGCTTGACTGGGAGGCCCTGGGGTCTGCTCAGCCCCTGCAGGAACTCTTCCTGAGGCCTGAGTTGCTGGCTCATATAAAAAAGCCTTGGCAGGAGGCTGAGAAAGAAGTCTGGCCTGGGTGAGTGATTTAACAGCTTGCCAGGGGTGCTCTGAAGGGAGTGCTGTTTTCCCAGATGGTTGGAGAAGAGGATCTGACACACTGCCTTTATCCAGAGCTCGAGACATATGCCCCAGACCTTTGCTGGCAGACCATGAGCTGGACTCCAACGCAGGCACCTTTTCCTCAGCCTGTGGTGTGATCTCATGAGGAGAAGTTGCCCGCTCCTTCTGGCGAGGAGTTAAGTCTATGAGATCCATCACTAAAGCAGCTCTGTTTTTTGACTGAGTATTCTGGTCCACGGGCCTCAGTGCTTTTTCTTTAGCTACCAGGGTCTGCACCACAGCTGATAGTACTTTCTCAGGAGGTGGAAGTCTCTGGGACAAAGAGGCATGGGATTTGTCTGGGGGCCTGTCGAAAGTTGGGGGTTTAGGACTACTGGTGACTAGCAGTCTGTCTGTTGGTGGAAGTCTCAGGCCAGTTGGGGCTGGGGCTTTCTCCAGTGAATGGGGCCTTGGGCTGGCAGCACCTATGGATTTATCCAGCCTTGGGTCAGCTGTCCCCAGAGGTCTTTCCAGTGGTTGGGACCTGACTGAGGGTGAGGAGCTTGGGCTGGTCACTGGAGAGGGTTTGTCAGATAGCAGAGGTCTTGGTCCTTCCACGGCTGGTGGTCTGTCCAGTGGTCTCTGGCTGGATACCAAGGACTGGGATTTGGTCCCTGATCCTGCAAAGTCTCTGACCCTATCTAAAAGCTGGGAGCTGGAGTCAGTTCTCTCCAGAGGTCTTTCAGATAGCACTGGCYTCTGACAAGTCCCTGCCAAAGCTTTTTTGGAGAGTGGCAGCGTCTGATGGGCATCAGCAGGTGGCTTATCTGACATCTTGGGCCCCTGAGCAGCCATTTCTGATGATTGCTCTGCCAGGCGTGAGCTGGGGCTTGGAGGCATCGGCACTGGGGGAGGCACATACTCACGGATCTCCCCAGGTTCCAGAGGGTTGGGCCCACAGGGGTCATGTTCAGTACAAGACAGACGCCCATCAAGTTTGGAAATGAAGAGCATCCCTTCCCGATGCTGCTTGCAAAAAGAGCTGGGGCACATCTCACAGAAGGAGGCTGCTTCTTTCCCACAGACGTCACATTGGTGCCAAGGGCACTCCCACTTCCCTGAAAACACAGGAGTGAACAAAAGCTTAGGGAAAAGAGATGCATGTGAGATGGGCTGTGGCCCCGGGACTGGTACACAGGAGTGACTGCAAAGCCTCCTTCAAACTGCCAGCTCTTCAGGGAATTCATGCCACTCACCTGCCATCACTCCTTCCCCAGAATTTCAGCTTCCTCTTCTGCACAAAACAATACATAAAATAACAGCAATGTATCAAGGTTGAGCAACTAAGCAGCAACTAAATACAAGCAGGAGTAAATCCATATCTCTATGACTATTTCCAACAAGGAGAAAAAGAAAAAATAAAAAAAACCAACCAAACCCCAAAGCTCTTCTTAGACATTGTGTTTAGATATTACTTTCATAGTTTTGCAAAATCCACTTGTCTAAACAGCTTAAAAATATTCAACTCCAAGAGGAACATCACAGCTATTTATACTCCTGCTTATTTAACAGAAATAGGAAAAAGATATACAGATGTTAAAAAAAAAAAAAAAAAAAAAAGGAATTACACTTACCTTTGTTAAATCTAAGTCTTGAAACTAACACAAAACTTAGGTCTGTGTTGTCTGAATGGCAAGTAGAAAAGATTCAAAGCTAACCTGAACTTCCATCTATACTTATCCCCATTTCATGAAACCTGAGAGACTTGACTATGGACAGTGTTCCAACCCACAAACTGTGCTACTAGACTTCACTGTTAGCACACAGGCAAAATCAATTCTATCATAGCCTGTGCTGTTACCACCCAAAGTAACTGACTCAAAGTTCTCTACTTTTCTCGTACTTCTTGGAAGCAAGCCAATAGTCATGTATAACTGCTTCACCATAGAATGGCTCTCTACTGGTCTCTCTCTTTGGACCTTTAAAATAGTCAACATGTCTAAGTCCCTTAAATTCTCAAACACCAGATCACTGCCCAAAGGTTATTAACTCCTCCAACCATAAATTCCTGGGCAAGGCATTTGCCTGAGAAGCTTTATCACGTTAACTGTTAATCAAAATTTTTTTCAAGGAAAAAGTCTTTTTCATAAGGAAGAAGGACCCTAGTAAGGGTGAGTGGGGCATGGACTGGCTAAAAGGATGTCATGTCATCTTACTGAGTGGAACAACACAAAGGCTCTACTTTGTCTCAATCTTTCTTTCTCTGGAAAGATTATATGACTTAGTGGCTTTGAAGTCAGAAAACCTGCCTTTCCACTCAGCTCCTTCATCCCTAACTTTCTTTTCTTTGTTGGTGCTGGGGATCAAATCAGGGGCTTGTATGTGCTAGGTAAGTAAGAGCTCTTCTATTGAACCATACTCCCAGCCCGCCTTCAATTGTTTGAAACATGTCATCTCACCAAATGTAAATCTGTTTCATCATGCTCATTATGAGAAGAAAACCAACTGTAAATGGAAGTAAAGTATTTGACCCGTAGCCACATTCTGTTCCCTTCTCTACAGCCTAGGACTCTAAGACTTTGTTGTCACATATTTCCAGAAGGAAAACATGGACCACAACCCTCAGCACTTTACACAAACAAACCAAATGGCACTTTGTTGTACATTACAGCAACTGGCATCAAACTCTGAGAATTCTGGCAGAGAACAAACAGAACTATGAATGGACTCTTGTACCAACCTGCTGGTCTCTTGGTCAGATTAAGACAGTCTGCATGGTAAACTTTTGGGCAGCCTGGTTTCTTGCAGGAGACGAGCTGACCAGCATCCCCACAGCTGAAACATTCATCTTCTCGTTCCTTAGTGATTTCACCCTGGCTCCTGCGCTTCCCCTGTTGCTTCTTCTTGAATTTCTTTGATTTTTCTTCTGTAGCAATAGGTTGATTCTAGAGGTCAGAGAATGAACAATCAGCATTCTGTCAATAACTTGGTTATATCATCTTGAATAGGTTAACTATATACTCTGAGCCTCAGTCTCTACTCTGGGAAGATGGTTCTCAAAAACTGTTGCAAAGATTAGAGAAAATACAGGAAAGGCAACTGGCACATCAGATACGAGATATTGGGTAGTATTAATTTCCATTTTTGTTATCACCAACTCTTTTCACTTGAATAAGAGAAAAAAGTGCTTTTTGTTAACACATAAGGCCCCAGCCTTATGTGTCATTTCTATGTCTAATTTCAAAGCTAAAGACTTCTCTCTGTGAGTTCATATACATTGCTAAACTTATTTAACAAATCACTGAACATTATGTCAAGAAGGCACAGAAAACTAATTATGATCTTTGCCCTCATCAAGGTTTGCATCTTTAAATCAAATTGGGTTAATGCCTACAACTCCCCAACAACTAGCAGTTTTTCTGTTTGTTTCCTGGAGTCCAAACCCCAGGGCTGTCATCTCATAATTCATCTTAGCCTAGAAACATACAGGACCAATCAACAAGGCTTAATCAAGGTCCACTCTATTCTTTGTATTAATAGCCCACAGTGATTCCCATTTCTCATCTTGTGCTCTGGCATGTCTCTCACTGGTTTACAACTGAAATACTCTCTTACAGAGACCTTGAGGATATAGAAACTTGATACTGTTTATTGTGAAATAAAATGGATTACTATCTTAATTTATGGGACACAAACCAGCTGACATTTTGAAAACAGTACTATCTAAGGAACAAATTAACTAAAACCCAAAATGAAACCCAATACAATATAGAGATGATTTTCCTTATTTAATAAGACAGAATATTTGAGGCTGGGGTTGTGGCTCAGCGGTAGAGTGCTCCCTAGCACATGTGAGGCCCTGGGTTTGATCCTCAGCACCACATAAAAATAAATAAAGATATTGTGTCCAACTAAAAAATAAATATTAAAAAAAAGAATATTCATGAATCTTCCTTCTCCTGTAATTGATCAAAATTATTTACATCCTTATTGTTTTCTATGATAATATACATTTTTCATCCTAATAATAGGTTTCTTTATAAGAACAAGAAAATACATAATGGGAATTACCCAATTGGAGTAACCGTATAGTCAACTTTGCATCAAAATTAAACATCATTTTCACTACATTGTTCCTTAGGATAGAGAAATCCTGAAGCATCCACATGTTCACCTATTATGATCAGTCCATTATATAAAAAATTAATGACTATAAATGATCATTAAGAAGACTATGTAACAAAAAGGAAAATTTGAAAATAGTATTTAAGAAAAGCAGAATAAAGACTTTTAAATAATCCTTAATGGTTAGAGAATTGTAATTTAGTTAAAAAAAAAACAGGAAGTGAGACAAAAGAATTTTTTTTTTAAGGATGGGACTGGGGTTCGGGGGTTGAACTTAGGGGCACTCAACCACTGAGCCATACCCCAACCCTATTTTGTATTTTATTTAGAGACAGGGTCTCATTGAATTGCTTAATGCCTCGTTTTTGCTGAGGCAGGCTTTGAACTCTTGATCCTCCTGCCTCAGCCTCCTAAGCATCTGGGCTTATAGGTTGCATCATCTGCATACAGCACAATAGTGTTTTTATACTTAGTTAAAATGGCAAGGCTAATTCTACTACTTTTACCTATTCTACTGTTTTGTAATACAATCTTAAAATTTCACTACAAATTCTTTGGTATCTTTACCACGAAAGAGAGAGAGTTATACCAGAGAATTGAAGTAACTTAATCTGGAGGTGGTACCTTTGGTCTGACACCCAAGAAGCCACTGCAGTTTGGGGCTCCACATTTGCAAACAGTCTTTCCGTTCCCAAGACATTCTAAGTTGTAATTGAAGGTAAGTTCAGTGCCTGCATAGAAGACCATTAAAATATTAATGATTAATATCTATGGTTTTAATTATTTCTTATTAATTACAAACGACATTAACTTTCAAGAGATCACGAACAGGATTTTAAAAAGAATTAACTAATTCTCTACATTAATACATTTTAATAATATAACATTATTAGTAAATACATTATAGAAGGGGAAAAACTTTAGTACCTTAACAAATACTGAAAATCACCTTTACTAGAGAAGTATTAATTATCTCAAGTTTTTCTCTTTCTCTTGTTTTGCCAACTACTCAGATACAAAATTTTTAACTCAATACCAAAACCAAATACAAGAAAAACAACTTAATTCTGTACTGATGTGCCAGGCACTGGGATTATAAGTATTAAAAAAATGCCTGCTAGTATGTGCCCTGGTAAGTGTAACTCACAGACGAGGCACTTTAGTATACAGTAAAGACTGGCTGTACATTCCAGTTATGCCAAAACCAGGCTGGGTCATTTGAACCCCGAGTAGCTACCCCTCTCTTTTTTGGATATGCTAGGCATTAGAAGGCAAAAAAAAAAAAAAAAAACATTCAAATACAGTCTAAGCACATAATGAAAGCAAGTTAGGATTAGGCCTAAAAAAATAAGAATTTTTCTCCCCTAGAGGCGGGGTCTTCTAAACTGCCCAGGATGACGTTGAACTTTCATCCCTCCTGCCTTAGCCTCTGGTTAGATGGATTATAGGCATGTGCCATAACACCAGGCAAATTGTTTCTTTATTGAGATGGGCAAAATATAAACCACTTGACTCATATTTAGGGGCCATATACTAGAAATAATACAATCATCTGTGTGTGGGTCACAGCTTAATCATCACAGAAACAACAGGGATGGGTTTCCATCTCAGGCCTGCTTGTGAACTTATTGGACTAAATGTTGGGTGATTTACTTATACTACTAGTGAAAAACTAATCAGAGGGAGAAWTTTTTTTTGCAGTGCTAGAGAATCAAACCCAGGTTCTCGTGCATGTTAGGCAAGCACTCTACCACTAAGCCACACTTGTCTAGCTTCTATAATATAACTTTTGCAGATCTGACATGTTTATGAGGCAATTCCACCATTTAGACAAGTGTAAGATAGCAGGATATTAGGCACAACTTGCAGCTCACTAAACATATAYTGTGTAAGCAATCACACAAAATCAAAGAAACTAAATCAGAAGGTATCAAGTCACAAAGGAAACACTGATATAACTATAGCAAGGAATCCAATATTGAATAACCTTTGAAGGATTTGGCAAAGGGTACCAGGGAGAGAAATAAAGATGGCATACATGAAAAAACAGAGTAAGATACAGATCCATGAAGGGTCTGAAAAGTTGGATGAGAAGTCCTGACTATGTCTACCCAGTTCTCAGCTCTGACACACCCTTGGCCTCAAACTTATCACATTAGGTCTAATTTTCCCTATTTAATCTGTGCAGACTAGATCCAAGAGGATAGGAACAATATATCTATGCAGAGAGAATGTGGAAAAATTTGTAGCTAGACACAGTAGACAAGGTCATCCCCTTGAACAGAGTGAATAGGGTAAACAAAAGAGAAAGAAAAAGGAGTTTCTGGGGAGAGGGATCATATCCAAGAATCTAAGCCTGCTTTCTGGTGCTAATAACAATACCGCAGACTATAAGTTATACAGAAGGGAGGCTGACTTGGGTTCAGAGTTCTGATGCAAGATTGAGGCTCAGCATATGATAGCCTTACTTACTGGCAGGGTCCAGAGGCACTGCAGGACATCACATAGTAAGAGACAGGGATAATAGCTATAAATCTTCTGGTGCTTTCCTTTTTCTTATAAAGATACCAGTATTTAATTATGTCGGCTCCACCCTGATAAACACGTCTAAATTTAAACACCATCCAAGGTATCATATATGGATTAAGTTATCTACCCTCTAATACTTCATCATAATGGGTATTAAATTAAAACATGAGTTTTAGAGGGAACAAACCATACTGGCTAACAACACAGTAATAACAGTTTTGACGATAAAATCTCAGCTACTCAGGAGACTGAGAAGGGAGAATAACAATGTCAAAATAAGCAATGTCAAAATAAGAAGAAACTTAATGAGACTCAGCCCCTAAATTTTCTTTCTTATCCCTTCATTTTATTTATTTTCAGGTGGTGCTGAGGATGAAACCAGTGCCTCATATGTGCTAGGAAAGCACTACTGAATTACAAGGCAAACCCCTCAACTCTTAAAATCTTAAAACTGGGGGGGTTGAAGCTGTAGCTCAGTGGTAGAGCACTTGCCTTGCAAGTATGAGACACTGGGTTCAAAGACACTGTGTCCATCTACAACTAAAATATATATATATATATAAAAATCTGAAAACTGTGAGAACTATTCAAATTCTAAAAAGTATATGAAAGAATACATGTTTCTATCTGTAGAGAGTGAGAAAAGGGAAGTCCAAAAGATTTAAAAATCAATAAAACATATGTTCCTAAATGAATACATGAACAGTGTAACTCCACATTACATTCAACCAAAAGAATGGAATCCTAATTAGAATTATCTATACTCCATGTATATATGTCAAAATACATTCTACTGTCATGTATATCTAAAAAGAACAAATACAAAAACCTCAAAACACAGACAAGAGCTGATCAAATGGCTTTTTAATTCTTATATCTTGATAAATGCTTCTTTTTTTTGGTAATGTTATTGTATTTTTTATATATTTTATTTGCTTTTATTTATATGGTGCTGGATATCAAATCCAGTGCCTCACATATGCTAGGCAAGCACTCTACCATCAGCTACAGCCCCAGTCCTGATCAATGCTTCTTGACTGAGGTCTATAACACTAGGCAAAGGGAGTCTCAACTATTGCTCCATGATACTCATGGGATTTCTGCTGGACTACACTACTGTCAGTTATAAAACATCTAGGTGAGTCCCATCTCAGTTTGAGTATAAGACAGTGATCTTCAACTATCTTACTTCTATTCCTATGAAAAATTCATTTGGAAAAAAAAAATGCATGAAATCTTGTATATTACAAATTCACAAAACACTATGTTCAAATATTTTAAAAACTAACCAATTTAAAGGGTATCATATGCATAGGTCACTTTATTTTTTAAACCATCAAAACCTTGAAGCATAGGTTAAGTTCTTCTAATTTATGGAAAATATAACTTTTTAAATTTAGCTATTATCAGATTTACTCAATTCAAATAAAGGTGTGAGGGCTGGGAATATATCTCAGTTGGTAGAGTGCCTGTCTTGCATGCACAAGGGGTTCAATCCCAGCACCTCAAAATATTTTTTAGTTGTAAATGGACACAATACCATTATTTTATTTATTTATTTTTATGTGGTGCTGAGGATTGAACCCAGTGCCTCACACATACAAGGCGGGCACTCTGCCACTGAACCTCCATTGCAGCCCGATAGGTCTGCTTTTAAAAACCTTAGGGACAGGGGTTCAATCCCAGCACCTCAAAAACCAAACAACAACAACAAAAAAAATCAAATAAATGTATTCATATTTGTCACAATTACAACTATCTCACTTATGCATTCAAACATGAGAGGTCTGTTTTTTAAAATATTTTTTAGTTGTAAATGGACATAATACCTTTATTTTATTTATTTATTTTTATGTGGTGCTGAGGATTGAACCCAGTGCCTCACACATACAAGGCGGGCATTCTGCCACTGAACCTCCATTGCAGCCCGATAGGTCTGCTTTTAAAAACCTTAGGGACAGGGGTTAACAATGTCTCTCAGTGGTAGAGTGTTTGCTTTCCATGTTTAAGGCACTTCTGTCATCCCCAGCACCACAAAAAGGGAAAGAAGGCAGGGAGACATTTATTTATAACTCACAGATTCAGGTGGATGAAAGGTAAATCTTTGGTTTGAATCATGGGAAAGGGGCAACTGTGGAAGAGAAGGTTAAAAAAACACCTGGAGAGCTGGAGTTTCCAAGACTCATTTGCAGGGAGTTCACATCAAAGTTAAAGTCTGGGAATTTATTTCTTTAACAAAACCATCCAGGCTCACTCTTAAAGACATGGTAGGTGAAACCACTGAGTCACAATAGGACAAGTACTGTGTGGTTTCATTTACATGAAATTCCTAGAGAAGTCTAATTCAGAGATAGAATGGTGGTTGCCAGGGGTTGTGGGGAAAGAACAGAACAGAAAAAGTGTTTCAGTTGGGGAAGACTAAAGAGTTCTCAAGGTGGATGGTGRTGATAGTTGTATGAGAATGTGAGTATACTTCATACATTAGAACTGTATGCCTGGGTGTGGGGAATGTAGCTAATTGGTAGACCACTTACCTAGCATGCATGCATAAGGCTCAGGGTTCGTGAACAAAACACAACACAACACAACCATGGCCAAGTACCATCTGGAAAGTCTTCAGCTATTATCCTCAGAAACTTGGAAACTTTATTTTGGAATTCCTGAGGTGAGATTTTTAGATGATAAAACCTGAAATTTAGGACATAACTCTAGAATCCTCAAATGACCCTTACCTGCTTTAATGTCACTCAGGGCAAAAAGTCCAACACGGGTATCACCATTCACAGACCACTTCTGTGTTTCACAGTTAGGCTGGCAGCAATGATTCATGAAGCGAGCATAGTTTCCTTTGGGACCAGCATCAATGATTCGGTCCTAGAATTCCAAGAAAAGCTGCTTGTCAGACTTCCTGAGACCTCTACAATTATCTAAAATTATTCTAAATAATCTGTTATTTTTGAAATCTGAAWCTCATCTGTAGTGGTTCTGAAAGTACAGCCCATTGATCAGCAGCACCAACTCTACCTGAGAGTTATTAGAAATCATAATCTGGGTTGTGCTTAAGTTGTGCTTCTGTTTAAAGCAGAAACTCTGGAGTGAGGGATCAACTGTCTGTGCTATAACAAGCCCACCAGGGAATTACTAATATATACTGATAGTTGAGGACCACTGCCCAAGAAGCAGAAGGCTTTCCATTCCCTAATTATGAAGTTTTCAAACCATGTAAACATGTCAAATCACCTACTGATATTTAAAACATATGTGAACTGCACACCTTCAAGTATAATCAGGATATCTAGAGGTGAGGATCTCACAAACTAAACATAAGTACCAGAAAAGGATGTTATAAAAGCTGGGAGAGGGAAAAGAAAGTTAGTGAAACCTAATATTCAGGTACAAAGAGGAACTGCAGAAACACAGAAAATAAACATAAAAGGGTATTCAAATTAGGAATAAATTAAAAAATAAAATTCCATATACCAATAAAATGAAACTTCTCAATATGGTAACTAAATATTAACAAATTACTTAATTTGTAAAATAAAAGGGTAAAAATTATTATTTTGTCTTGAAATATTTCTCCTATAGTAACATATCATTCAAAATAAACAAACAAATAAAAGCAGTTTCATTGCCTTTGGCCAAAAATACACACTAGCTGGGGCATGGTGGCACATATCTATAATCCTAGCAGCTCCAGAGGCTAAGACAGGGGGATGGCAGTTCAAAACCAACCTTAGGAACTTAGTGAGACTGTAAGCAACCTAGTGAGACCCTGTCTCAAAAACAAATTAAAAAGGGCTAGGAATGTGATTCAGTGGTTAAGTACTCCTGGGCTCAAACCCTGGTACCARAAAGAAACTGTACACCAGAAATTTGCAATCTTATCTACTGCAGAGCCCATGTGGAGAAACACTTGACATTGATCCATGTCATATATGCATATTGTATCTACAAACACAAGTTAAGATAACCCAAATTTCATTCATCATTACTTACTTTGTTCTACTACTTACTTTGTCTAGGGTAAGCATATAAAAATTAGTGATATCATGTTCTTGGGCATAACGTATTCGAGCTCTGCACTCTTCTTCATCTATTAGTTCACCCACATATTCATTCACAAATTCACCCTACAACAAGAAACAGTTTCTGACTTAACAGCAAAAGTATGCCAGTATTCACATGAAGGCATAACATTTTAAAAATTAAGGAAGTATCAGAATATCCAATTCAGATTTTGTGCATAATATTATATGCATATAATTAGTTACCTTGTGATTTTTCAACTATTTGATTCTCATCCCCACTACTGCTACCAGCAGTAGGATTAGGATACAATGAACATCAAAGATCCACCAGTTAAGAAAGAAAGGAAAAATCCCTTTATCTGCCAGAGCCTGAAAGTCAGTTTCTCTAAATTATGTTCCTGTTCCTTGGAGCTCACAATGCCTACTATCTCTCCATACTTTACAACACTGTCTTCCCTATACTATAATCATACTGGTTTTCACACATGATGTCAACTTACTTGCAGGTCTTTAATGCTAACCAACAATTACTTACATCATCTTCGAAGTTTCGACTTAAATATTCTGAGACAAGCTAGTTTCATGTCTTCTGTTATAAGTCTCTAGAATCCTGTTTTTCATATTGAACAGACCATGTTTCCCTATTTATTATTATATCACAAAAGGATCTGACAACAGTAAATATGAGAAATGATGAAATATACCAATGTATATTTACTGTCATTCTTAGAAACATCAATAAAATTATTCAGAAACTATAACCAGAAAAAGGCTTACTTTCCTAATGTCATATACATTTTATTTTATAGCAAGCCTATAAAATATTATCTGTTCATTAGGAAACTGTGGATCTTTCCAGGCACATATGTGCATACCTGTAATCTCAGTGACACAGGAGGACGACAAGTTCAATAACCGCCTCAGGCAATTTAGGAAGACCCTAACTTGGAACTAAAAAAATGAAAAGGGCTAGGGATAAAACTCAATGGTAGAACTCCACTGGGTTCAATCCTAATACCATCAAAAAAGAAATTTGCAGATCCCTCCAAGCTTCAAGTGAAAGATGTTACTCTTTTTCATTTAGAAAAGGTCAAATCCTCTGCTTCATGGTTTTTTTGGTTGTTATTCTTGTTTTGGTACTAGGAATTGAATCCAGGGGTGCTTTAGCACTGAACCATCGCCCCCTTTTTTTATATTTTATTTAGAGATAAGGTCTCACTAAATTGCTAGGGCCTTGCAGAGTTGCTGAGGTTGGCTTTGAACTTGTGCTCCTCCTGCCTCAGCCTCCTTAGCTGCTGGGATTATAGGCTCTGTCAGTCTGCCGKAATTTTGCTTCATGTTTTATGAAGCTACTATTCTGCCTTCCAACAAAATACTGTATTTTATTAAAAGGTGATTAGCCAGGTGTGGTGGCACAGGCCTGCAATCCCAGCAACTAAGGAGACCAGGGTAGAAAGATTGTAAGTTCAAGGCCAGCCTCATAAAATTAGTGAGACCCTGCCTCAATATAAAAACTAAGAAGGGCTAAGGATATAGCTCAGAGGTAAAGCACTCTTGGTTCAATCCCCAGTATCAACAACAACAAAAAAAGGTGATTAAATATCTCTATCATGTGCTCATTTTCCTTCCTTCACTTAAGGATCCTATGAATTTCCTTCTTTTTTTCTCACATTCTGCTATTTAGTGAACACGATCAACACAGGACTTTAAGCAGGGCGCAGTGGCACATGCCAGTAATCTCAGCAACTCAGCAGGCTCATGAAGAAGGAATTCAGTTCAAGACTAGTTTCAGCAACATAGTGAGACCCTCAGCCCCCCCAAAAAAAGGCTGGGGTGTTAAATACACCCTGGGGTCCAATTTCCAGAACCAAAAGGGAGGGGAAAAAATTTCAGAAGACTGGAGGATAATTATCCATCTTCAAACCTCTAAATTCTAGGAGTTAGCAATAATAAAGTTAATCCTCAAACTAGAACCTATGTTATTTTACTATGATAAAAAATCACATGAATGTGAGAATTTTAATCAAGCAATAAAAAAGAAAAGAAAAAGCTGATCATTAAGAAGAGATTTCTTCACCTTTTTAATATCTGTTTTTGTCCGAAGTCCCCAGCCCCTCTGTAATGTGCGGAAAATTTCAACCTCTGGATACTGGCGCTTGCTGAAGCACTGATTTTGACAACGCCCTCCAGCAGGACATACTGTAGGGTGACACTCATAAAGCAGCATGCGGTTGATGCACTCAGAGTCTATCCCACAGGGGTTCTCATCAGTAGCTTTACAGTTGCAACGGGGAATTTCCGACAAGTCCGCAGTAAAGATCTGTACCCTGCCAATAGGACGGTTAACCTGGAGAAAGCAGCACATAGTATTATCAGGCAAAAGAACATAAAAGAACAGAAGACCTGTATAAGGCAAATTTCCACTTCCCCCATATTTATTATTGGTACATTATGGTTGTACATAATGGCAACACTGGAAATTTTTTCTCCGTTAAGTTGTGCACCACATTTTACATAATTTTACTGATTTTTTAAAATTTGTTACCAGGGACACTTAATCCTGAGCACTACCCCAGCCAGTTTTTGTGATTTTACCTTGAAACAGGGTCTTGCTAAGTTGCTTAGAGCCTTGTTGAGTTCTGAGGCTGGCTTTGAACTTGTGATCTTCCTGATTCAGCCTACCTAGCTGCTAGGACTGTGATGACAGGTGTTCGCAATGTGCCCAGCTACATCATTTTAAACAATCAAGATTTATTTAAGCAGTTTGATATAAAGTGTTAAAATTGATATATAAAACATGACTCTCACAAAAATTTTTTAAAAATTAGATAAAAATAGCCACTATTCTGAAATGTAAAACTTTTGGTTTGAAAACATTTTTGAGTAATTTGGTTTCTTACACATGAAGAAGTAGAATATTAAACTTTAAATATTAAATATTCTTAATATTGAATATTAAGAAGTAAAATATTGGGCTAGGGATGTGGCTCAAGCGGTAGCACGCTCGCTTGGCATGCATGCAGCCCGGGTTCAATCCTCAGCACCACATACAAACAAAGATGTTGTGCCTGMCAATAACTAAAAATAAATAAATAAATATTAAGATTCTAAAAAAAAAAAGAAGAAGTAAAATATTAAACTATTGTAATTTGAAAAATTTTAAAAGGAAAACAGCACTGTTATTCATATTTTCATGTACAGTACTTGTTCTAGTACTGAAAATTACATTAAAGGTGAGAAAACCCATCAAGATCAAAAAGCTGCTGTGATATCAAAGCCATTCATGAGTTTTTATAGATAACAGCATTAACAATACTGAGAAAAAAACAGATATTTCAAAAGAGATGAATTTGTTCATTAGAAGTCTCCCCTRGTTGCTATTACTTCAGTGGGAATAATCAAATTGAGTCTTCAAAGAGAGCCCATACATAAAATTTGACTAGTCAGGAGTTGTATGGTTTTATAAATTACTTTGCCTATGAGACTATTTTAAGAATAGGATCAGGACACAGCCCAGCAGCCTCTTAAACAAGGCAAATATTATAATTCTCTTCCTTCTTGATGTCTTTTATGATATCTGCAATACCAATTATTCTAGATTACTAACTCCAGTTAATCTAAATTATTACTGGGGCTGAGGACATATCAGTGGTAGAGCATTTCCCTAGAACCACCAAAAATAAATATCTTAAAAATAAAGTTATTTAGGCATAGTGGTTCATGCCTGTAATCCCAGCAAACAGGGAGAATGAGGAGGAAGATCACAAGTTCAAAGCCAGCCCCAGAAACCTAGTGAGACCAAGGCAACTTAATAAGACCCTGTGTCTGTCTGTCTGTCTGTCTGTCTCTCTCTCTCTCTCTCTCTCTCTCTCTCTCTTTTGCACACAAACAAATAAATAAATAGTATTGGGGAAGTAGCTCAATGGTTAAACATTCCTGAGTTGTTCCCCAGTATCAATTGAACAATCATCAAGTAAGCAAATAAATGGTTTCTATTACTTAAAAATCACTTCTGTCCTCTAAATTCCAAAATGCTGTCATTTCCACAAGTTTATCTCTTATTCTTTACACTATTATAAAAACTACAGCCTGTCAAGAAATATATTCTCCTCAAACTATCTGTATGAAAATTAAAAAGGACATACATCTTTGCCATATCCAAGGTCAGCCACCAAACCACAAGTCCATAAATAGGGTATATGAACATTTACTTGTAATCTTTATCTGATGCCACACCACCACCACTTTCAAAGATTTACACACTCATATAAATATATTTCAGGTATTGTGAGTAGGCCACAGGTCTCTGACACAGAGCTCAACTCTTGTCACTGTAGTACAAAAACAGCCATGATATAAACAAAGATAGCTATGATACAATAAAACTTTAATTCATAAACATTGAAAGTTGAATATAATCCTTGTATATCGTGAAATATTACCTTTATTTTTCCTTCAACCATTAAAAAAATTTCAAAATTCTGGCTAGCTCATTGGCATTAAATAATACATAGGCAGCAGATCAGATTTGAACTATCAAGGGATTTGCTAACACCTGCTCTATATTTTTTTGCTGAAAATATGTCTGTTTAAATTTTAAAGAGCAGAGGGAAGGAACTGGTCTCTAAATTCTAGGGTGAGATCACTCAAAGAAAGTTCCTTCCTCAATATCCAGGCTCAATATAGTAGATGTGCTACTCTGAAATGCCTAGAACTGTGTGAACAGGATTACCAAATGACTTTCCTTTTTCTGAGGCCTAACTACACTTGTGTTATTTTTTCACATACAGTGATTCCACTGAACTCTTGGTGTATTTCCAGGATCTATTATGAGACATTTATAAGTTTTAAGTTTCTTAAGTAGTTTTAATTATTTGCCAGGATTGACATTTTATGATTTTTACTCCTTAAAATAGATTCTTCAAAGTTCAGAAAGAAAATACTCGTTTTACTACATCTTCTTTCAAGAACTATTTTAAAAAAATGGAAGTGCTATCTCTATAATCCACTAAAAAAGGGTTGCCAGACTTAGCAAATAAAAATCCAGGACATTAAGTTAAATTTGAATTTTGATAAATAATAGTTCTTTAAGTCCTACAAAATATTTTGGACATACATAAACACACTGGACTCTATAAAGAGATTAGCATACTTTGGAAACTTAAAAAATAAAAAGTAAAAAAAAAAAAAAAGACAAGACATGCAAATGACACTTTTCTATGGACAAACAAGATATAGGGTTCTATGGGCTGGGGCTGTAGCTCAGTGGTAGGGCACCTGCATCACACCTGTGAGGCACTGGGTTCGATCCTCAGCACCACATAAAAATAAAAACACTGTGTCCATCTGTAACTAAGGAAAAAAAAAATAGAAAGGAAAATAAATAAGTTCCTTATCCAGAAATAAATATCCTGGGTGGTGAACTCATTTTGATAATATGGTTAAAAAGTATTCTTTCATGTATTATGATGTGTGAATATTTTAAAGCACTTACCTGATTAAAAAAAAAAAAGATTTGTAAACAGTATTTGAGAAAATACTAAAACAATTTTTTTGGCATTATGGTATTGAACAAAGAGGCCCTTTAACACCGAACCATATCCTCAGCCCTCTAAATTTTTTGAGTCAGGGTCTCCCAAAGTGGCTGAAGGCCTTGAAAAGCTGCTGAGGCTGGCCATGAACTTGTGACCCTCCTGTYTCAGTTACTGGGATTACAGGTGTACACCATTRTGCCCAGCATAAATACTAAAATTTCTAATAAACTTCTTTCTTTCTTTTTTGGTATCAGGGATTGAACCCAGGGGCACTATATTCTCAACCCTTTCTAAAAGTATTTAAATAAAACATTTTTATTTATGAGACAGGGTTTTGCTGAGTTATTAAGGGCCTTGCCAAGTTGCTGAGGCTGACTTTGAATTTGTGATCCTGTTGCCTCAGCCTCCAAGCCCCTGGGATTATAGGTGTGCACCATTAAGCCTGACTCTCTAAAATATTTCTTCTTCAGAGTTATTGTTGTCTTTTAATTATGCATATAAATAACTTCATATATTAAATAATACAGAAGGTCCTCTGAACACAGATGATAGTGATGGCTATTTTGTCAGGCAGACTGAGGGTTAGAAATACCCAATATTAATTCTTCTGACCATGCTGGTCACCTAAAATGTTTTCAGGGTCAGTTATTACCAAGAAGACGTACCATAAGTATTATGCATACAATCTCAGGAATATACATAAATCACGGCTGTTTGGTCTCCTTCAAACAGGAATATGTGAATATAATCTATTCCCACTTATATGTGAGAATTTCCAAGAAAAAAAAAAAGATTGCTTCAATAAACAGTTGATTTTTTAAAAAACTGCATACATTGTACTAGAAATGTGACTCTGGTACTTGTTCCTTCTTTTAATCTGCCTCTGGCTTCATAACAACTATACTTATGCTTTCAATTCTTAGCATGATGAGATGGGAATAAGGAATAAGGCAAGCTATACAGTGGGTCTTCTAGAGGTAGTCTCCGAGGATTTTTTTTCTTACCTTTATGTGTTTATAAGGCGGTGGTTTTTTGTCATTCTTTCGATCTTCCTGCAGCTGTCTTAGCTCTTTCTGGGCTTTTAACTCTTCAAACCTTGCTGCAGCTTCCTGAAGAGCTGAGAAAACACATAGTACAAGTCAGTTAACAATACCTGGGTGGTATTTATTTTGCTTCCCTGTTAATTTGAAGAAATCTATATTTTAGACAAAATGCAACCAACACTACGTATATGGAAAAACTAGAAAAAWATATATATATATATCACAACTATTTCCAAATAGGCTATACAGTCCCTGAGGTATTCAGACATGGCATTAGGACAAAACAAAGTAATTCAAAGTTCTTCTCTTCTAAGTACCTGTCCATCTTTTCTCTGTATTGCTTTTATGATACTGCAGACTGAACCCAGGGTCTCAACACTGTGCCTCCCAAGTACCTGGGATTACAAGCATATGAAACCATACCCACCCCATCCTACTCTTCTAATATTCATTCTGTAAATATCCATCAYGAACTCTAATGATAGACAGATCTTCACATCTTATCTACATTCAATTTCAAGTTCTGTCCTTGTAAATGTTTAAAAGTATCTGAAAACCTCAACAAAAGAGATTCTCATTTTTCTCCACTATTGATTCATTATTCCTTATACAGATGAAAAGTTCCAAGAATTCCAACTCTTCCTACSTTTTTCTCTGTAGCTTTCTTTCCCTGTCAATTCTTTGACTCATATGTTCTTCCCTGTCACCATCTAGCAGTACGTTTGTATTACATGAAGTCTGTTAATAGTATAATTATTCATCCTTCCACRTTTGTTATTCAATATGTCCTGCTTTGTCTACAACAATGTTTGCCCAGTAACCCATCATCCACTCTACCCTATGAACAATTCTGTTATGGTCTCATCTTTTCTGCCTAGAAACAGTACCCTCACTCATCTTCCTAGCTGTGATCACCCACCATTTGTATTTATATATTTAGAGTTGTAGATAGATAGAATGCCTTTATTTATTTTTATGCAGTGCTATGGATCAAATCCAGTGCCTCACATGTGCTAGGCAATCGCTCTGCCACTGAGCTACAGCCCCAGCCCTATCACTTACCTTTTAACAGTCTCATACTTTGTATCACAGTCTGAAGTTCTTAAAACTCTCTCTCACCATTCAACTTAACTTTCCTTTCAGGCAGCCAGTACAGTGCTCTTTGAACCCTGTACTAAAACTACACCAAATACTTAACCCAACAGRGTAAATTAAATGTGTACTTTCACATATGCTGCCTGTCATACAGCATTTAAGGACATTTAGGTCCTCACAGTCAGTGCAGAAATTAAGAATTTAGATCCTGGATTCCATCTGCTAGCATTAAAATCCTTTTTCTACCACTTACTGACACTGGGACCTTAAGCCAATAATATAACTTTCAGGTGCCTCAGTTTCCAAAATATGCAAAAATCTGGATAGTATATATTCTGCAGGGTTGCCACAGGACCAAAAGCAAAGTAACACTTAGGAAAGTAGCCATCATCCATGGCTTCAAAACTCCAGTACCCGGCTTAGCCATGCCTCACCTTGCTCAGCCAATCAGACATATATCTACTACAGCCATCACTGAACAGTAGTTTGACTGCCAGTATCTATGTCAGATTCCCCCACAAAACACACATTTTTAGAAGACGAGAAACATAGCCAGCCTCTGGTATGCAAAGAAACAGGAACATCTCAAAACCGCAGCAGGCTCAAACTCAGAGCCTTCCTTACATTATACCTTCTCCCATATCCTTGGTGAGGACTACCACTGTGAAGGCCATGATGTTGGTCACAGGTTACTGATGATCTGAGACAGCAAGACTCTAGACTCAAGCTCCTATTAGTATTAGTACTGATACACTTTACTGTATTAGTAATGAATATGGATAGCCCATGCCTCAGGACAGAAATAACATGGCAAACAGGTGAGGAACTACTAAAATAACTGAAAATAACATGAGGCAAACAGAACCTTTATTATACTCATTCCCTGTACACATTACACCCATTCCCTATCCATGAAGTTTCATCTGCTTAGAATCTTGTTGCATCCCACCAGGAAGTTCCATTTACAGCCATATTCATCTCAGTTTGCAGACAAAATCTTCAAATTTAATATTCAAACAGCAAAAGATACATGGCTTTTCAAAGGACAGCTATAGAAAGAATATAATTACCACTGATGTGATTACCAACTACGTGCCCTACAGGTTTACTTTTATCATCCACTGAGTAATCAGAGCAACATTTTCCCTTCATATCATAAGAGAATGCCAAGGCTCACAGTTGTCTTAACCATCTCATAAGTGGTAAAACTACTGCTGCTAATACTAAGGAACCTCTTTTAGCCATAACTGCCCCCACTGCCATCAATACTAGGCTACTTTACAAAAATCAAATGGCTCTATAATTTTAATTCCTTTTATATTTTCTATTGAATATTATTTCCTCTCAAAAAGCTAAAAAGGAAAAAGAAATGAAAACAAAACCATTTGGGGGGTTTGCAAGAGATCCAAGTTTTTGCAAAGCAAACTGCGATGTTTGTTCTATAAAACATACCCGAACTTCATTTCTTGATATGTTGAGAAAACAATCGTTCTTGAGCGACTACAGTAAGGCAAGTTAAGTTAAAATGAGTTATGTCAGTGACTTTCCCTGTCAAATCCTACAGTGACAACCACATAAAACCCCAGAGGTCAATAGAAAGCTGTCAAAAAGAAGAGTTTTGTGAATTTTAAAAACCGCAGATGTTCAGGCAACAGGGGTCTCTGTTGGCCTGAGAAATACAAAGGATAGTTACCTTTTTTATATGTTCCATCCACTCCTTTGCCCATCTTATCCTTGCTGCTCACATCTCCCTCCATGTAAGGAAAGACTCGGGCCTGATGAGTCCACAGATAGTCATTGGACCCAAAGAAGAGCACAGGGAACTCTCCCACATCATGTCTCATCTTATCAATATTGGAAGGAACAGCTCGAGGATGGCAGATCTCAGCTGGCCACCACCTGGGAAAGGTGAAAACAAGGGGAGAAACCTCTAAAAAGCTGCAAGTAATATTAAAAAAAAAAAAAAAAAAAAAGTCCTGCTTTAAGACAGGAGTAAGAAAACAACATCTGCCTGACAATATGAAAGTCCAAGCACCTAGAAATCTCTCAAGATCATTAGAACACAAACAAGTATTATGTGCTGGAAGCCTGAACACAAATGCTTACAACTCATATTCATAAACTTCCTGAGACCCAAGTTATTTGATTTGAAGGAGTTTATTAAACAAAGGGGTTGGAGATATAGCTCAGTTGGTTGAATGCTTGCCCTTGCATGCACAAGGCCCTAGGTTCAATCCCCAGCACACACAACCCCCCAAAAAAGAAAGAATACAGAGAAACAAATGTCTATGACTATAATGTTCACTGAATGAAAAACAGGAAAAAAGTTGAATGCTCAAGGGACTGACAATAGTAGTCAAGGGAATGACAATAATACCAAATACAATGACCTTTACAAGGGTAACTTTTCAATAATTAACAGGATACTGAATAATTACATTAAAAAATGGGGGGAAGGAGCCTTACATGAATACTACCACTATAGAGGGACAATTTGGCATTAACTATTAAAAGCTAGACCCCTCTACCAAGATACTTAATCCAGAAGCCCCAAGAAGCTCCATTGCATGGAAATCAAGAAATAGCACTAAAATGAGTATAGGAGAACAGTGAACTGTGAGTAAACTGGAGTATAATAATAACTGCAGTAAATCTCAGGGATCTAAAAATGAAAAAGTAAATACATCAACAATAAYTCTTTTAACCCAATACAGTGGTGAATGCCTGTAATCCCAACTACTCAGGAGATTTGTGGCAGGAAGATCACAAGCTTGAGGCCAGCCTCTATTCCAATATAAAATAAAAAGGATGTGTATGGGGGGTAACCTCAGTGGTAGAATACCCCTGAGGGTCAATCCCCAGAACTGGCAGGGTTGGGAAGGAGATTCTTTTTTCTTTTCTTTTTTTTTTTAAATATTTATTATTTTTTAGGGGGCTGGGGATGTGGCTCAAGCGGTAGCGCGCTCGCCTCGCATGCGTGCGGCCCGGGTTCGATCCTCAGCACCACATACCAACAAAGATGTTGTGTCCGCCGAGAACTAGAAAATAAATATTAAAAAAAAAATTCTCTCTCTCTCTCTCTCCTCTCTCACTCTCTCTTTAAAAAAAAAAAAAAATATTTATTATTTTTTAGTTCTCGGCGGACACAACATCTTTTGTTTGTATGTGGTGCTGGGGATCGAACCCGGGCCGCAYGCATGCCAGGCGAGCGTGCCACCGCTTAAGCCACATCCCCAGCCCAGGAGATCCTTTATATAAAAGTTTACAACATGTAAAACAAAACATTTGACATGTATCAAACCTATACAACAAGGTAAAGAAATAAAAAACTCAAATTCTTTACTGTTTAGAAAGAATAAGTGCTCCTGTTATTTTTTATTATTAATAAAAATTTTTATTGACATACAAGAACTGTACTCACCCTACTGTGCCCATTCATTATATTTTAAAATCATTCATGTTATATTCTGTGCATTTCAAGTTCAATAAAATAATTTTAAAAAGAAAAAGCAAGGGGCTGGGGGTTGTGACTCAGTTGTAGAGCACTTGCCTGGCATGTATGAAGCCCTGGATTCAATCCTCAGAGGGAGGGAGGGAGGGAGGGAGGGAGGGAGGGAGGGAAGACAGGAAGGCAGGAAATAAGAAAGATTGAGGAAAATTGAAACCTGGGCATAAATTATAAGGATAATTATTTGGTGAGAAGAAGCACTGCTGGGTATTGATGTCTACAAGTAAACATATTAAACCATTAACTCATATTTGTGAGATTATAGGTTTGTTTTTATTAGTGAACTTTCTATAGAGTGCATATAGTCCTATAACTGTATATCATAAGTTAACATTCTTAGAAAGAAAAATTAATTTGGAGGGGAATTGTCTTATTAGGAAAATAATTTTTTAATATCTGAGAGGTCCCAAGAAACAGGTTAGTAAAAACAAAACAAAAACAAACAAACCAAATCACTGAGTCTCATTATCCTTTATGCTTACTCACCTGTATCGTCCAACTTTTACCCACACGATCTCCCTATAGTGTGGCTTTTTGCCTGCCTTACAGTCATTGCAATACCAGTTTCCTTCAGGGATATCAATATTCAGGCATTCACGATGAAAAGCAGCAGGGCAAGAATCACAGCACAGAAGGCTGCCTCCTGCAGAAATTAAAAAAAAAAAAAAAATCAAAACCAAAACGTGCATTTATCTTCAAGGCTGAATACAAATACCCAGCTCAAACAGCTTTTACTTGGCTCCTAACCAATTATTTRCCAGCCTAGTCAAGGGCTTAATAATTTAATAAATGACCCTGAAACACTTTTCTACAAGAATATTCCCATTCTAATATTTCTAAGCTCCCCTTGCAGAAAGAATATAAGTGCTCCTGTTAGTTTGTTAGATTAATAGATAATAAACATGAGATCTTATTGGCCATGAGGTAAAAGGTAAACATGAATGTCGTATGTAGCTATATATATATAAATATTCTTTAACCTCTCTAGAAGACAACACATCAAATAAAGGAAATAACTACCACACACAATGATCATGTTAAAAAAAAAATACTAGTTTAATGGGGCTGGACTTCCAGCTCTAAGACCACATGACCTTGGAGAATTTACTTAAAACACACACACACACACACACACACATTTAGTTGCAGATGGACAGAATACCTTTATTTAATTTTTTTTTTAATGTGGTGCTGAGGATCAAACCCACTGCCTCACAATGCTAAGCAAGCACTCTACCACTAAGCCACAACCCCAGCCCAAAGGGGAATTCATTTTGTTTACTGAGCTGTAATTTCCTTAATGGTAAGGTATTTTCTAAAATGAACAAAAACTTTATGTGTTTGAGAACTAAACCAGGTAATAAATCACCTAGCAGTATGTGACAGATGTGTAAACTTTAATATATAACATGGAGATCCATTATATTAAATGTAATTATCAAACAAATTATATCACACACACACACACATTTTGTGTAATATGTAAGTAATATCATGAAATAATAAGGACTGTAATCTGTAAATCCAGACATCTGCCACTATAGTATCTTTAAATTTCGCTGGTAACAATAAACCATAGGTACAATTGTGGTTTACTGCCTCAATTTCAGTTTATTTACCCCTCCATCAAAATTTTCAGAAACCAGGCTAATTATTCATATATATTAGTAGTAATAACACTTACTTCTTTAAAGATTATGTACTAAAAATGTTCCATAATGTATGTATTTGATTCTGAAATCCACATGCTTGAGAATTACAAATTAGACATTTCAGGTAAGGGAGATTATTGGGGTGGGGGTGATGCTGTGGATAGAACTCAGGGCCTCAAGCATGGTAGGTGAATGCTCTACCACTGAACCATGTACACTTAGTCCAGGAAKATTCATATTTAAGGAATACAACAATTTTAATACCTGCCAGATAAAACTCTTAGCCTAAAGGGTTAGTGAGGGGTAAACCTTTGGCAAGGAATATACCAAGTTTATCCATTCTAACTGTGCCATTTTATATCATTAAAATCTTCTAAAAACTTGATTTTGTGGCACTTTCCCTACATAATTTCTTGCCATGGTAACTTTATCGTTTCTTTAAATTATCCAGATCACACTGTTACAGATCACGTACAAAATGGAATTTTTCCCAGGTCTTCCAATGAGGGAATAATATGAAAAGAAATCTGAAGTGAAGAAAAAAAAAATAGTGAATAATGGCCAACAGATAGAGATGTGGGAAAATGCTGGAAAGCACATAAGTTTTGAACAAAAGGACAAAATAGGATGAGCTGAGGGAGAACCTGAAGGAGGAAACCAACAGTATGAGTGTGAACAGATGGATTTGAGCTCAGCAGGAAAGTTTATCTGGTGGGAGTGAAAGAGATAAACAGGAGGGAGGGACAGAGGGAGGGGGAGAGAGAGACAAGCAGAAAGAACAAGAAAAACCTTACGAACTATCAAAAGCAAATAAAATATGGGAAAAGTGATATTTAATGGTAGAGGTCAAGAGAGAAAATGAAGTTTAAACATACTGCTGAAATCTAAGGTCTGTTTTCTTTTAGATTTATTATCCTTACACTCCTGGATAAGCATCTCACCTTCAGTTCTCTCCTTTGCACAAGGGGTAAGGGTGATGGGGAATGTTGAAACTATTCATTTCATAATTTGTAACATCAGCATCATCATTTCTCAGGCTTTTGGGCCTCAGATTTTACACCCTTGAATTATATAGAAGGCCAAGATATTTTGTTTATGTGAGAGACAATGAAGATGATACACACAGACACACATACATATTGAGATATTTGCCAAGTAAAAATTAAAACTAAGAAATATTTTAAATATTAACTTAAACAAATCCATTATGATATTATGAAAAACATTTAAATAAAAACATTTTTTCTGAAATTAAAAATACTGAGAAAAAATATTATTTTACATTTTTTTGCAAATATATTTAACTGCGCTGTGTTGCATATATTGTTTGGTTGATGTACATGATGAAAATTAGGTTTCTTGGAGATATATAGTTGAATTAGAGTATTTTACTGTCCAAACAGATTCCATTCAACAATTGTGGATAATACACTAAACACCATAGGCATTTTGGTAGTTGTGACGTGGAATCTGAAAGCATATTAACAAACTCTTGTTGCTATTATACTAAAATTCATCAATCTATCTTATAATTTGAAAGGATTTTCTATTTATGTATGCCTTCTAATACATGGGTTGATTACATGAAAAATACTAGTTGAGTCATATATGTCTTCTAAATGTTGACCTATTTCGTATATATTACTAAAGTATCCCATTTTTTTTAGTATCACTATGATCTCATCAGTAAGTACTAAGATGTTCAAGGATATAGATGATAATTTTTTAAAATATATTTTTTAATTGGACACAAAGCCTTTATTTTACTTATTTTTATGTGGTGCTGAGGATCGAACCCAGCACCTCGCACATGTTAGGCGAGCRCTCTACTGCTGAGCCACAACCCCAGCCCCCTGATAATTTTGTCAGTAATTCTTAAAACTAAAAATGATGTTTCATAAGTAATAAACATAATTAAGCTGGATGTGGTGGCACACGTGTGAAATCCCAGTAACTGGGAGCTGAGGCAGGAGGATGGCAAGTTTGAGGATAGCGTCAGCAATTTATTGAGGCCAAAGTAACTTGAATCCTGTCTCAAAATAAAGAAAAAGGGTTATGTACGTAGTTCAGTGACAAAGTGTCCCTAGGTTCAATATCCTGCTCCCTTGCCACAAAAATAAAGCTCGAAACTGAGGTACATGATTGCTTTAACTCAAGACAACTATTATTATGCCACAGAACTGCTTAATGTATACTTCCTATCCCACCACACAGAACACTAAAACAATGTTTATTTTATGTTCGGAATTTAATAAAATTTAAAAATTTTTCTTAATTATCAAAGAAATCTTGAAAATTTATCAACATTCCAGCAATTTCACCCACCATTGGTTTATACTATCTGGCGGCAAATATAAAATGAAGTACAAAAGGCAAGTAGCAATCTTGATATTATTATGGACTACACTTGAGACTTGTTGCTCCAGCTGTCAGAAGTTTCCTTGGAAATTCAGTAATCATTACTAGATCTGAAACTATCTCATGAATTTCATCCCATAGTGGAATTAAAAAGTCTAAGGCTGGGTCTGGGGTTATGGCTCAGTGGTAGAGTACATGCCTAGCATGCGTAAGGCACTGGGTTCAATCTCTAACACCACATGAAAATAAACAAATAAAATAAAGGTATTGTGTCCATCCACAACTAAAAGAAAAAAAAATTAAAAAAAAAAAGTCTAAAGCTGAAACTTTCATCTTCCTATGTCCAAGAAACACAGGTGGTAAAATGATACAGACTTCATCATTTATCAGAAGACAATTTCATAAGGAGTATGTTTACAAGGAATAGGTTATTAGTCAAACAAAAAAGGATGTAGTACATAATAAAATTTTATGTGTAACAATCACAAAACTAAAGCATCTTAAAAAAAAATCTGTGCAACTGTCTTTTTATGTTAAGAGATTCATATTATATATTCATTCCCGTATTTCCACAATACACACATATGTATGTAAAAAATACCAAATTTACCCCATAAATATAGTTATTATGTCAGTTGAAAATAAAATATTTTAAAAAATCCCTATACCAAAATTTYATTTCATACGAATATAATCGTACTAAACACTATTTTATTTGTTCCACATTAGAACCACAGTTTGAGGCTACAAATGACTATCCTGATGAAACTCCTTTCTGTAGGTTTCTTTTCCTTAAATTATCTATCAGGTTACATAAATTTCAAGGGCAGAAAACAGGGAAGGAGGAAGATCAGGAAGGGGAAAAAAAGAAAAATGCCCAAACAGATAACATAAAGCAGTTGTATAATTATTTGGGTAAGGAGGACTTTAACACTATTTAGAATATCTAAATTTCTTGAAAGGGATATAATGTCTTCTCCATCAGATGTAATAGAATTCTTTGGAATTCCATAAAAAATTAGACTCTAGTTCTTTGGTTAGAGAGCATATACATCTGGGAAAAAGCAGGTAAAGTAGCAATGAAAAGTTTTTAGGAGAAAATCAAACAGTAAGGCAGACTGAGAAAGAAGTCAGTCCCAAATAAATGCAAAAAGTTAAAATAAGACCGGGGATCATTTAAACTTATTTTCTCATTGACCAAGGGATACAACCACGTTTTCATTTAATCTATACTATTATAATATGACCATTTCCTAAGGAATGGGGACTGTATTTTATAAACAGGAATCCCAGTCATTCCAAGTCTTCATAAAGCAATATGCCCCCAGGAGAAAAGTCAGAATTCAAACTTTAGTTTTTAGATTCCAAGTATACTGTTCATTTTATTGCTTCTGTTGAACCATTTTAAAATCAGTCTCTCTGAACATTCCTAAGCAGCAAAGTTTTCACGGTCAATAAGCAGATATTCAAAAAAGTAAAGTTAGAGAAATTGTTTTTTAAAAAACTAACCAAGAAAATTCAGCCAACCTGAAAATGAATGAAAAAAAACTAGATGAGTTTTCCACAACCAGAGATAGTGCAGCAATGTTTACAAATATATCCAAATCTTGTGTTCTGTAATAACCCAAGATATCATTCTATCTCAAGCAGACCACTATGTTCTTGAAAATTMCTCTTAGAAGTTCAGGCAACCAAGACAAAAATCAAAATGTGAAATTCAGACCTATAAAAACCAGTTGATATATCAGTTTTAAATTTAAAATTTTTAAAATATAAAATAGCAAAAATTAGGTGACGACRGATGGAAAGGAAATAAACAGGAAAGAAATTGTGAGATGACTAATATACTCTCTGAAAGAGAATTACTTTAAAAATTGGTGTGGGTCAGTGGGGTTTTCCAAAATTATAAGATTTATTTATTTTTTCTTTTTTTCTTTTTAGAAAGAGAGTGAGAGAGGAGAGAGAGAGAGAGAGAATTTTTAATATTTATTGTTTAGTTCTCGGCGGACACAACATCTTTCTTGGTATGTGGTGCTGAGGATCGAACCCGGGCCGCACGCATGCCAGGCAAGCGCGCTACCGCTTGAGCCACATCCCCAGCCCATAAGATTTATTTTATCTTCACCTTACAAGATCTTTTGAGAATATAAAGATATATTTATCTAAAGAAATCATAAATTCCTTCACTGTTTTTTCCTTTAAATTCAAATGAAATTGGGCTGGGGATGTGGCTCAAGCAGTAGCGTGCTTGCCTGGCAAGCGTGCGGCCCGGGTTCGATCCTCAGCACCACATACAAAAAAAGATGTTATGTCTGCTGAGAACTAAAAAAATAAATAAATAAATAAAATCTTAAAGAAAAAAAAATTCAAATGAAATTGACTTAAAAAAATATATGATACCATTAACTGGAATTGTTTCTGTCAAGATATCTATCCTTCTTTCTGCTGATGCACATAAATGTCTAAAGCAATACCATTCAATAGTAAGCAACATTGGTCTCCCCCTGTGCATGATAGAATCTGGGGTGATTACCCCCTACTTTTCTTACTGCCTCAACATATTAACAAAAACATACAATATTCAAAATAAAAAATTAAAAACTTTTAAGCCATGCACAGTAGTACACACACCTGTAATCCCAGCAGCTGGGAGGCTGAGAAAAGACAATCACAACCTCAGCAATTTAAGGAGACTTTTGACACAAAAATAAAGGTGGGTGTGGTGACATTTGCCTGTGATGCCATTGATGTGGAAGGCTGAGGCAGGAGGATCACTACTTCAAAGCCCATCTCAGAAAATTAGCGAGGCCCTAAGCAACTTTTTAAGTTCCTATCTCAAAATAACAAATTAAATGGGGGCTGTGGTTGTAGCTTAGTGTAGAACACCTTCTGAATGTGTGAGGCTCTGGGTTTGATCCTCAGCACCATTTATATGTCAGTTGACAACTTTTAAAAAATTAAAATTAATAAATAAATAATWAAAAGGGCTAGGGAGGGGCTGGGGTTATGGTTCAATTGTACAGCGTTTGTCTGGCACATGCAGGGCGCTGGGTTCAATCCTCAGCACCACATAATAATAAAATAAAGATACTGTGTCCAATAAAAACTTAAAAAAAAATCGAAAAAGTGGGGGGCTAGGGATGTAGTTCAGTGGTAAAGTACCTCTGAGTTCAGTCCCTAGTACTAAAAACAAATTAGTAAATAAACAAACAAAAATAAATAAATATCTCCCTACTAGGCAACACCACCAAGTTTTTAAAGTTCTGCTATTATCATTAATTTGGGGCACTGTCTCCTAATATTTCTTCCAGTGGCAATGTGAGGGAAATTATTTTTGTTCCAATTAAAACACAGGATTAATACCCYTTTAGAGCACTCAAATAACAAAAAGTCATCTTACCTTCTGAGCATACAAAACACCAGCTGACATTAACATGCTCATGATTTCGACAGCCCCGCCTAGGGGTAAAGTGATTAGGGCAGATGATACTATTAGATGCAAGGATCTTTGACCCAGCAGCCAGACAAAAATCATTAGCATGGTATGCCACAGGGCAGCGGACACAGCGCATCAGACGACCTAAACAGGAAAACCAGGGAAGAACGAAAGAAAAACAGATTAAATACTAAGAACAATGTGAATTATTCAGTCTATTTGCTACCATTGAAAAAATGTCAGAAAACAAATTAAGACCCACTAAGACAATAAATCCTAAATGTACAATCAGCCATGAAAAAAACTATGATGGACCCTCAATGCTGTATCCAAAGAAGTCAGATCCCATAACTTTAAACAAGTCTACCTCACCAAAGAAAGCTCTACCCAGTCACTAACTGACTTTTAGAAATCCTGGAATCTGCCTTAGACTAAATAAATGGGATAGACTGATAGGACAGCAATGATTACATGGGTACTCTGTGGTTAGTCTTCCAAGTAAATGCACCCCTATCCAACTCTTCCAAATGAAATACATCCAGTAACATACTTCAACAACTAAAACCTATCAATAAATGCAATCTACACAATTAAAACAATTGAAAAGAAGACAGTTAAACATAACTGAATGCAGTAACTAGTGAATGCAGTCGGGAACTATATCTCATATTCAATGCAAATATGTAAAACTACCATATAATGACAAAGGCTACAGAACACAACCTGATGATGAGAAACTAACCTATTCCTCTTCTATTCTCTCTAACTCTGCCTAACTTAAGAGATAACAGATACGTTTCAGATTGCATTCCATTGCTATTGAGACTACAATCTTACAATTAGACTGGTCCTCATAAAAAACCCATACCTTTAGATGCAGAAACACTGGCTGGATTAGCAGCATGGCAGGTTATACAGATGTGGAGGGAGCACCGAAAGCCCTTGTTCTGCATGACAGTTGGTGGGTATTTCTGGACACATTCTTCATGGTAAAATTTTCCACACAAAGGCAAAAGGCACCTTTTAACATCTTCCCCACTTTGCTTACATACAAAACAGGTATGAATTCCTGGGAAGTCAAAAGAAGAAAACTAATATTAATTAAACAATTTACCCCAATAATGAACGATTAGGGTCAAAAGTTAGTAAGGAACTTCATAATAGACTCATTAGGCTGACAATATTGAATACAATGAAAAATCAATATAAACTGACAATATGACAACGTATGTTAACAGACATGATTCAATCAGTTGTATAATAGTTGAAAGAGCATTCTTTAAAAAAAATAGAAAAGTAAAACCACACAACTAATGTCTCGTCTATCCAATAGATCCAACAGTAACTTTATAGAAAATAAGGAAGATAGAAGTTAAAGGGATATTTAGAGGATGCAACCAACCAAATTTTACGTTTCGTTTATTTTGTTTGGAGTACTGAAGATTGAACAAAGGGGAATTTTATCACTGAGTGAAATCCTAAACTCTTCATATTTTTATGTTGAGACAAGGTCTCACTTATGTGCCCAGAGTGGCCTCAAACATGTGGTTTTCCGTCCTCAGCCTCCCACATCACTGGGACATAGTACCTAGCCAGCACACTAGATTGCAATTAATGAAACTAGAGCACAGATAATACAGTACTGGGGCACAGTGGGGCAAGCCTGTAATCCCAGCAACTCAAGAAGCTAACGTAGGCTGTGGTTGTGGCTCAGTGGTAGAGAGCTTGCCTAATATATGGGGTACTGGGTCTGATCCTCAGAACCACATAAAAATAAATTAATTAAATAAAGGAAGGTAACGTGTCCATCTATGACAAAAGCATTAAGGCAGGAAAACCATAAATTTGAGGCCAGACTGAGAACTTAGCAAAATCCTGTTTCAAAATAAAAAAATGAAAAGGATTGGGGATATAGCTCACTGGAAAAGTGTCCCAGGGTTCTATCCAGAGAACTTCTACTCCTGATGCACAAAAACAGTAGAGAAAACAGTTCAACAGGAAAAAGGGCCATCACTTCAATGAATAAATAGCATTAATAAAATAGGGTGAGTCAGGCAGTATGGTTAAGAGAAACATTAAAAAAAAAAAAAAAGCAGGGACCTAATTTAGATCTTCATTCTGAACACTATAGAAAGACATCTTTTT